TTGAAAACTTTTCCCGGAAGTTTTGGTTGGTTTCCGGGTTTTGCCGTGGTCTTTTTCGAATTTCAGTTGATACGTCAAGAGGAGTACTTTGACCATGCCACTGAAGATGACTGCCGCAGTTGCAGTGGAAACAGTTGGAGATTATAACCAAAAATAAAGACCACGGCAAAACCCGGAAATCAACCAAAACATTGACACCAGCTGTGAAAGCCTGTATTCCTATATTTTACCGGAAGACGAAACAATTAGATTTTCGTAATTAATCTAAACTTTATTAAGAATATTTCATTGCGATTTCACACTACCTACTGTAGAGTACACTACCTACTGTATAGTTTATTCATGTGTGATAAAAACTATTTTCTATCAGTTTGTGAGAATCATATTATAAAAAACTTTTAGTAAATTCATCATAGATTTACGTCAAATGTCAGAAAACTTAATATTAGCATTCATGAGTTTTCAGCATCCCAAGAAGAATACATATATTAACAGTAAAAAAAAATTTCAAAACAAGCAATTAATAGCATACTCTGTTATTGTTTATATTGATTCAAAACTTATTTTATTCTTATGAAAGCATATCAATGAAAGCTTATTCCAAAAATGTTTTTACTTTAAATTTTTTTTTAGTAAACGCTAGACATATTCCTTATCCATTTCTTGTGCAGTCCACCACATTGGATTCAGAGTGACATTATATTTTTGTATTCTTCACACTAAGCCTTTTCATTTGATACCCATATCATGGAGGCTTTGTATTCGGGCAGTCCGCAATATTGAATTTGGAGTGACGTCATAATAATTTTCGAATTTCATTCAGCAAACCCTGTGTATAAAAAGACTAATACGCCATTTTGGATCATCCACGATTCGCCATATTGGATGTAGAATGACGTCATGTACTGTCATCCAAACAATGCGAATCCAAAATTTCAGCTCAATCAATTGAGGATAAAATTCAAAATCCACAAAATGGTTACGGCTTTCGCGGGCGACGCTTTCAATGTCACTGTTTTCCGGATTTGAAGGCCGTGGATTTTCGGAATGTCTTCCTGACGTTTCGCTGGCGGGAGTGGCTAGCTTCCTCTGTTTGTTTTCTGTTTGTCTAGGTCTGGAGTCTCCAAACTACGGCCCGCGGGCCAAATCCGGCCCTAATTGTTGTTACTATTGCTGTGAGAAGTTGAAGAAGAAAACACAGAATGATAATTACTCGGTTTTATTTACTTGCAAGGTAAAACTTAACGACAGAAATGATGACAAAGAAAACTTAATTGGTAAGAGAACGGCTCTACCGAACTCTAAAAACCTGATTCGATCCTCAGCGGGGCAGGCTGTTTCATCATTTTCCAAACAGAGGCGACACACACTGCCTTCCAACAGTCAGAGTATCTGCATATGATGATTCAAATGACAGTGACCTGTAAGAAGGCCAGTTAGACATCGTAATTCATCCCTACTGTAGTCCAACAAATGTTTGGTATCAAGCTTCGAACGGTAAATAAACGCCTTGGAGTGACCCAATCTTGGAAGATTCTGACAAAAGTCCATAAATCTTCTTGCCATCCAGGTGTTCAATCTTTGTTTGGCTTAGCCTAAAGCGATGCCAATGACAGGTTCTGTTTCGATGAAGCTGATTGCAGCACCCTCATTTGCAAGGAAGTCAGCAGCATCATTGCCTTCCAGGCGAGTATGGCCAGGAATCCAGACCAGAGACAATCTGTTTAGTATTTCTATAGAGGAGAGTCGCTTTTGGCAATTTGCTACCAATTTAGACGTTGTTCGGTAGGAACCAAGAGCTTTCATTATCACTTGACTGTCCGAGAATATTTTTATTGATTCGTGTATGGGGTTAGATTTTTCCAATCTTTCCGCACACAATTCAATAGCGTAACTTTCCGCTTGAAATACAGTCGCATAGGTTCCTAGACAGGTAGATATCTCTGTCCTGGGTCTGCGACTGAAAACGCCTGCATCGGAACCGGAAGGTGTTTTAGATCCATCTGTGAACCAACAATTATCTGCTCTTAATATTTCCTTCTCCAGGAGGATCCAGTCTTCTCTACTCGGGAACAGTACTTTCTAAGGCAGTTCGTAGTTGATAGTCAGAGGTCATTTCCTGAATGCTGTGACTTTCAGTGTCAACCAACAGTCTGTTGCACTCTGTATTGAATTGATTTGTGCAATTGGCAATGTGCACAAGTCTATATGCAGTCCATCTAGCCTCTCCAGAAAAATGTGAAGAGGAGGTAGATCTAGAAGGATCTTCATGGCCGCTGACGGTGTGGTACTGATAGCACCACTGATGGCCAGACAACCGTGTCTTTGTAAGTCAGAGAGCTTCGCCTGGACTATTTGTCTATCTTCAATCCTAAATCACTATCCGCCACAAAATTGTAATAACTTTCTCACGGAAAATGGTAAAAACTTATTTCTTTGCATAGAGTCGTTTTTCCCACGTGTTACATTGGGGGAAGCAGTAATCATGATTAGAACGTGAACAAGAACCAATATCGAAAATAAACTGGAAGGCCATAGTGTTGAATCAGGAATGCTTGGTTATTAGGTTCTGTTTTCTCCAAATTGCTTCGTAGTAAAAGCTGCAGTGAAATGTAGAGCGTGAATCTCGTCGGCGGACCATGTCGAAGCTTAGTTTTGCATCGGACCGCCTTCAAGGATTTTTTTTATACTGCACAGATGGCTACTAAGTGAGAGGGGATGTCATCTCCTTCATTTATATTCAGGTTTTTGTCCTTTGAAGACAGTTGAGTCAGTCACGAATTCGTGGTTCAGCCTAGCACCACTGATGGGACATATGCCGGGTCGAAATAGCGCTGTCTTGTGTTGGATCATTGATGCTTTGATTTCGGGTTCTGGTTCACATTATTATATCTCACGATTACAACGCGCTTATGTGTTTATGTTGGACAAATCATGTGCATAAACTCTGTTTAATATTTAAGCAATGATAGCTGATCAAATTCTTACGTCAATATTTAGCTGTATGAGAGGAAGTAAGAAGTAGCTGGAACGTATGTTTTACAAAACACGACGTCAGTGGTAAGCAAGGGCAGGATGTCATATTTCAAGTTGTTTTTACTCATGTTAAAATATAGGTATCAATTTTGTAATATTATGAAGTATCAATTTTATCGACCATCTTTGGGTATTTTCACCTTCAAAAATCTGAAAATATGAAAATTGTAATCTAGAACTGTACCTATACAAGTGTAGAAATAGCAAACTTATTAGTTCACCCCGATAAGTTAATGCGTAAATTCAAGAAAAATGTTCTATTCATCAGTAACATGACATATTTATTGGTTTTGCCTATCAAAAAAAGATCTCAGAAATAATACACATACTTATCCTAACGTTTCGGAGGCTAAAATCTGTCTCCGTCATCAGAATTGGAGAAATCTACGTATATTAGCAGTAGTGTCGTATTGTCGTTCTAAACTTCATCGACAAGATGTCAAAGGAGGTGAAAATATTTTTAAAAAAGGTTGGTAAACGAATTCGTAGCATCAATAATGACGGAGTTGGAAATGGTGCCGGCTTAATTTGGTACACTCTGTATAGAAAACTCTGATTTCCTCCACAAAAATGACTTTCGTTAAAAAAATATCGTTTTTACTATTCAAGTTCCGTAGTTATTGGTTATACTTCCAGGTGTGCAAATCTTTTTAAGTATTGTAATGTAATGTGGTAATTCAAGAAGGAGAGGAATGAAAATAAATTACCGATTTTTTCGTCTCATGCTATTCACATTGATTTATGTGCCGCCGCCACAATATAATGCGAAAACTCAGCATTATACTTGTGCCGCCACTGTAAACGAGTTATTCACAGAATTGCAGGGATTATAGGATTTGCCCATATGTGAAACACATTCTAGTTCTAAGATAATTATGAGTTCTGTGCTCTGTTTTTATGTACATATTTTTAGTTTACTAAAATCGTCACCAGGGGAAATATCGCTCATTTAGAATAAACAAAAGGCATATATCTCAGTTTCAAAATATTTTAATTTCAACCCATTCATTATCCCAAATAAAAATTTTGGAATTACAAATAAAATTTTTTAGACCCTATACAAAAATCGTACTTCCATGGTATCGATGGACAAATGGATTGTTACTTTCCAATTTTTCATAGAGAGGACCATTTGTCAAAATTTAAGTGACCGATGTTTCCTAAAGACTGTTTTTATTGTTGTTGATCACGATGTAAAAATTTGAAGTATTTTTTCTATTAATATTGATTGTATTATTATTGATAATTAATCATGGTTTTAGTCTGGTTTCTCTGAATATTATTAAGAAAACTGTCCTTGCTATCGTTTGGGGGAAGTTATTCGAATTCAAGTTCAAATACCTATAGTTCAAATTGTCAGCTGTTTTTAAATTTGAATATTTTGAAAAAAGAAAGAGTTGGGATAAACTAATCTTACTGAGAAACACGTCAACTAGGTATTTGAAAGAATATATTAATAAATACCGGTTCCTCGAAGAACATGAATATGTACCTGATTTTACAAAAACATCAATCTTTCCACAGAAGCCACCGAGATCAAAGGAAATATTCTTTAGGTACCTAATTTTATGTATTATAGATATTTTCAATGTTTCTAATATATCCCCAGGTAATTATGTTTTATCACTTTAAATTCCATTTCATTAATTCTGAGATATGTTGTTATTGTGTTTCCTGAACTGTATATGTATTGTATTAAATTTGTATTTTCTGACAGAACTTTCTCAAAAATGAATCACTCCTAAAAATATAACCCTTTCAGTTTAAAAAAGATTTTCATATTTTTGTGGTTTCTTGTTCTTTTCCTCAGCAAAAGTAATTTATTTCACCGGTTCAGCAGTTTGTCACGTTTATAATAATCGCACTACACAAATTTACACTACAACTACACTCCTTTGAGTAGCGCCATCATTGGTAGAAATTATGAAATTCTTCCCCATGTCAGCTGACTTCCTAACCTTATTCTAATTTAAACATAATTTTGACTAAAAAAATATAATTTAGTTGCATAGGTGTCAGCTAACTAAGTGAAGTCATAATTTTCATCGTATTCACTTTTTACCTTTTACTTTGTTTTTATTTCATTCAATTCAGTGGAATTTATGAATACTGTGTGGATTTTTGTCTGGAAGTATGAAAAGTTATATTTTATCAATTTGTTACCTGTTAATTGTTTACTTTTGTGATGATTCCTATTGCCAAATAGGTAAGTGTAGTGGGAAAACTTTTATATGCATATTATTTTGGAGTGGTATCCTTGAATTTTTCATTTCTGAATTTTTGAGAAATTAGTGACTGAGTTTGCAGGATAAATTGCAGGATCGATTAGGCTGAAAAATAATTCTACATTGATTAGGGTTGAATATCTGAGATGACTCAGAGTTCTTCAGCAGTATTAGAACTGAATTTCATAACAGGACAATGCCTTTTACGAAAATATTTTCGAATGATAGGGAATGTTGAAAAGAGGTAGATGCTCATAAAATTTCATCGTCTAGCTTACCCACAATTAAAGTTCAAAATAGAATCGAAGATGCTATATTCCTTTTTTTCACCTACATCTTGAATCAAATGAAACGCCACTTCCCCTTTTTGTTTACTATCAAAACCTCTACACTAGAAAATCTGCTCGTGGGTTCAAGAGAGTGGATTTAGTTCCTACAGCAAGACTCTTACCTGTCCTTCTGGTCCTGAATAAATAGACTTGATTTCTTCAGTCTTCCAGTTTGCTCCAAACAAGCACTTTTCCCAAACACCAGAACTGCAATAGTCTACTCGATGTGTTTTTCACCTACCAACTTGATGATAGTCACTTTATCTCCTGAAGACGCCTGAGTTTCCAGTTTCACCTTTCATTTCAGTTTCTTCATGGAACATTATCTTCTAAGATTGACTAGTTTTCATATTTTTGTTACTTGATAATATTTGTTAATTTTGCATGTTTTGTTAGTCTAGGTGTTAGCCTGTAAATGAATCTCTTCTATTGCTGAACATGTACAAAAATGTTTGAGATCTTGTACCCTCCCAAGGTAGGTTTGTCTCATTTTTAGAGTTTTGGGGTTATTTTAGATTTTCTGCAGATCATACAGCGTTTGAAGGTAGATTTCATTGCTGCTCTTCCATTGATATTAGAAATTCATTTATATTCCCTGATGTCAATATTTTTCATAATAGTATTGCAAAAGAAGTCTCGTGTAATCATTTTCTGGGCTCAAAATATTTGGTTTCTTGGATCTGCTAAATCAGTTCCATTTGACGGAAAAATTTCTTCCTATGTGGCAGTTTTCTATACTTTTGATTTTCTGAAGTAATATTCTCATAGATTGAAGTTTCTAGACAGTAGTTCTTATCAATCGTGTCCACCTAGGAGATCTTTTGATATCAGGCAGATAATCTTTCAGACAAATTTTGACATTTCATGTCAACATTACTTTCATCGGCCAAGAACTTTCAGATTTCAGATGGAACCATCTACGCAAAAATACGTTTGGGATATTTTTCATTACTCTCCTGTTAGCCTTGTCTCCTATTTATCTCCAATCTTCAGTTTTTGTCAATTCCTGTTTTTTCTGCCATCATTTCATATCCAGGTCAGCCAAGATAATCAGACGGGTTATTTTGATTTCCATTTCTTACAGTATTGCGGGACAGTCTGCTAGCCATCAAAACAGCCTTAATCAGGGTATTGAAAGGATTTGAAGATTTGACAGCATAAGATTTTTATCTTTCATTGTTTTTTTATAACTGACTAAGCTGTAGCCAACTTTGTAGATTGTAATCGGTCAGGTAATTTTGCTAAGAATTTTTTCAGAAGTTGAACATTTTTCAGATAATCTTATCAAAGGAGAGGTTTTTCCATGGATAAAATGTTTCTTTCCTCATTAAATAGTATTAGCAACCTTTCTGTATGAATCTGTCACATGGTCAAAATGGTCATTCCATATATTCTTTTTTTGTATTCCATACATTGGTCTGTAGTAATACTTGTAACATTGAGTGTGTATATATGCAGTGAACGAATCAAGATTTCAAGTTCGTACAAAATTTATGTAGAAAGGTATCATTTTCAGTACATTAGGGTAAAAAATCAATGAAAACGTTGATATTTGGCGAATTAGAAGAGATCTGCAGTGGAACATATGCAACATTTCATTTAAAAAAAATAATAGAAAAGAAAATAAATTGTCCATCGTTATTATCAATAATTTGCTCAAATATTTGAATAGAACAATAAGAGCACGTTAATTATTTATTTTACCCTTTAAGAGAACAAACTGTTCGCAGAACTCTCCTCTATGTCGCTACATTAAATGGGGTAATACTCCTACAAAATACTTCGATATTTTCAATACATCATTGCTTATGGCAAAAATATATTGAGTTTATAAATTATAATTCATCAATACATTTAGTCAATAACTATTAACCAGTTTTTATTGTTATTGTATTTAATTCTAATTGATCCTTTATTTTAGACACTATGTACATGTGTATTATAGGTTACTTTTAATTTAATATCAATTCAATTGTGTGGAAACTGTTGTGGATTTTCCTATTTGTATCCCTAACATTATGAAATGTTCCTGGAGTTATATCATTGCAAGCGCCCTTTTTTTATGCACGAGTTCTGAAATGAATTGTGGTTGTCTATTGTACATTTCAGATGTCACGTATTTTCTCAAAAATATCTAGGAGCGTTATATCAGGTGATCTAGTGGGCTCTTCTATAGATATCTCATTTTCAAATAATATTAGGTTTCAGCAAGATGAGTCTTTATTACAACGAGCTGGTTTGAAAGTGGTTAAATGACAATTGTCCAAACCAGTGGATAGGAAAACGTTGTCTCTTAGAATAACCTGATATGTTACCCTATATGGATTCTTATGAAGATTGGTGAAATCTTGAGTTTACGTTACATAACCACAGTCTACTCCAGAGCTCATGGTTAGAATAAGAGGTGCTTCCCAGAAACATTCCATAATGAATTTGTGAACAAACTTCATTATTGTCAGAAAATGAATGATGATCAATTTGAAACTAATATGAAATCCGTAATTACACAGGAACGTTTTATACTGTTTTTTTGGGTTTATAACCTTCCAAAATCTGAAAAAATAAAAGCTAAATTAATAATTTCTTTTTACTTGTGTGAAAAGAAATTAGAACAATCACAGTTTGAAGCGAGATTATCATAGTGATTACAGGTTTTGAAAACGGAAAAGGATTGTTTTCCAAAACGTTACCCACTTAAGAAAGCTAGGTATCAATAGTTGATTTTTTCAATTGATTTTTTTTTTCAGTTTGAAGGCAAAATTTATGAATACGACAAGGTACTGACTAATTGGACTTTCCAGTAGTTTATATTAGGCAGTAACTTTTCAGGGTGAACTTTTCAGTTTACCCTTTACCACATTTGAGTAGATTCTCTATTGATTCAGCTTTTATTTTTTCAGATTGTGGAAGGTTATAAACCAAAAAAAAAACAGTATAAAATATTGAGTCTTCCACAAAAGTAAGTCGTTTGAAGAATACTCAGAAACTGATGTTCAAAAATTAAAAAATGTTAGAGAATCAAAAAAAGTTGGTGGCCCCCTTCTGGTGAAGAGTGATGCAACACTATCATCTTTCTTATCAAAAAGTAGAAAAAATTATATCTTTTGATGCAAATTTTGTCCAACCTCGATATCTTGTTCCTTTCAAAAGTAAAGAGGGGGGATCTGTTTATGTCCACACTATATCAAATTCACTCGTTATCAGTTTTCAATATAAATATATGTATCCAGTAATTAAGTAGCTCATACCTTAATATTACAAAATGTATGTATTTGTAATAACTTATTTTATTTCAGTAAAGTACAGGTCATACTTACATGTGTATACTTTCAATTCCATATAAGTGTCATAAAAACAATTTACTTGAATTTGTGACTCATGAACGCTTTATGGCAATATTAATATGATATATCATATCAATAATACTTTTGTTGACATTGACTTCACTTTGTTTGTATTTCATAGATCAACCTAGTTTGCTTATCAAATCGACATGTGAGGGGATCATTCGATAATGCATAACATGATATTTTTCTGATTTCATTCCTGATGTGTGATGTTGGAGTAATAGAAAGAATAATGATGTCGGCAGTGAGGAGAATAGCATAATTCAAAAGTGACACAATAGAAATCATTCTCTTCACTTTACACATATTTCTTACATTCTTTTTTCCAAGAACAAGAACAGAATTGATTGAGGTTAGGGCGGTGACATTTCAAGATTAAATCTTCCTCTCATCAGTATTAGTATTATAAAGGATTGAAAGGGTGCAAAGAAGTAACTATTAAACATAAACTGGAAAAAAAGCCCTCTTGAAACAACTAATTTCATATAAACATTGAATTATACAAAAAAACATTTCTACTGTTCAGTTTGTACTCCAAACACTCGTTATGAATTTGAATCAAATAGTTTTCACAGGATTGCTACACAATATAGTAAATGAAAGGTAAAATTTTACTTACGTGGAACACTGTCATCCTCACTGGTAGACATCTGATGTTTTGCCGTAAGTCACTTGCCTTATTGGCTCTTCAGCACCAATCTCGATAATATTACAAAATGAAGAACACAATTCATTCGTAAAATTACGAATCGATGTCACAAATGAGTTAAATCTACTCACGTCATCGATGACAATACGTAATGGCATTCATTCGCTAATTTGATTTAATCCCAGCCATAGGAATCTTGTTTAAATTGAAAGGGGTAAATTTTCAGGAATGAAGATTATATAACAAAAAATTAAAACTTAATCCATGAATGATAAATAATTTATTGAAATTGATTGGGAAAGAAAGGTTTTGGCTTTCTACTTCTCCATCTTTATGCAAAAAAAAATTGAGAATCTTCCTAAAAATATACCCCTTTCAATTGATGTAATTTGTCCTAACATACAAGATAGTATTGGTATATATAGATATAATTTATATGAAATTTGAACTGGTGTGCATAAAATATTCACATATAATTAACACTTATGAAAAATCTAACCTGAATATGTAGTAAATGACAGGTGATACCTCAGCTTAAGACTTGCATTTATGATAAGACACCAATATAATTAATCTGCCATAGATATCATCGGCCGCCAAGTGATAAATCGCGCTCTGTGTCTCTGCAGCTTTCACTAAACTATCTGATATAAGCTAATAGCCTTTTTTTTTGTTTCAGAGAAAATTTGCACTGATAACTTCAACAGGGATGCCTGTAACAATATAGAGAGGGATCAAAACTATTCTTGCGGACTGGTAATTTCAAAGTAAGACACATCATTTTGAGTTGGTAATCGATTCAGATTATTTATATTTTCAGAACCGATTGTTTTCTAAATATTGACAAAGGTCTGCCTCAGTTTACAATAGTGTATCCTGAACAAGCTCTTTTGGCAGCCCCGTTGGTTTCAGAACAAGTTGTGGTAATTGGAGAAGTTGAAACAGGTGAGAAAAATTCAAATGATAATTTTACTTTTCTCTCCCGCCACTTCCTATTTTGAATCAATTTTGAAGAATTTAAATATCCACACAATAAATAATTATGTCCCTGCTTCAAAAGGATTCTGATTTCAATGTATTAAATCAAAAATTACAAAAAAAATCACCAAAATCCGAGCTATTCCTGAGAACTTCCAAAGATTGCCTGTTTCATCTATTCGTTGATGCCACTAATCAACAAAAACTCTATACAAAGGTGTGCAGATACAAACTGTACTTGTGATGCACTGTTTGGAACCTTTGGTGTAGAAATGAATAATACTGGATTTTTTTTCCAACACCAAACCGTTATTTTAACAACGTGTTTCGATTACCAAGTGATCATCTTCAAGGTGGCTTCAAGATTTTGAATTAATTTTACAATGTGTCCTTATGTAATAGTCTATTACATGTAATAGTCTATTACATAAGGACACATTGTAAAATTAATTTAAGATTTGTAGATAAGGCAATATTGTGAAATTAATTTATGACACTCAAGACGTAGATACCTAGAAGAGGTATCTGTGGTATAAATAAGAACAGCTTTGTAAGTATGATTAGTTTGATCTTCCTCTTGAAGATGATTACTTGGTGGTCGAAACAAGTGTCGGGTGTTGAAATAACGGTTTGGTGTGAAAAAACTCCAGGATTATTCAGATACAAACTGGATAAAGGACCATCTGATAGAAACTCTAAAACAGCCAGCTAGATTACAATAAGAGACATACGCCACAGACTGTAGCTGTCACTGCTTTGGGATGCATTGCTCAATATATCTTGGTCTACACTTTTTAAAAACTCTTTCATTTGGAGAAAGGTGTTGTCGAAAGAAACTTTGCAACACTCCGCTCTCCTCCACATTTTCATGATTTTTCTGCAGTTCTTGAGCATCTCTATAAAAAAAAGATTTTTTTAATGATTCATACCCAATCCAATCTTATGAGTAACTGAAATATTTCATTTATTCGTTGGATAGAAACGTTAAAACTTTTCAGAAAATAAGTTTTATATACCTCGTTCGATTGATGACTTATTTATTTTGTATAAATTCATGTTGAATATAGAATAAAGAAAATACTTTTGTCTAGTTTCTAGTGTGTTTATTTATTCGTTACGACCAGTTTCGGCTTATAAGGCCATTTTCAAGTAACTACCACAAATTGTCAAGTTGCGTCTTGAATAGTGTGTACAGGTATCTGCTCTAGGTACCTGACCTAACACGTTACCAATATTACAATATGTCACGATTACCAACTATTGGATGGATCCTAAAATTCCTAAATTCAAAAGGGGCGAGCTGCATAGATCTAGTTGGTCGTTGAGCGTTATGAACTTGGGGTCCTTTTACAATTTATTCATTTCCAATGCTTCCAATAAATCCATCTACCTTCCTTTGTTACATGTATGAAGAATTTTCATGTTTCCTTTATTTATTGTATGGTTTGTTTCTTTTAGATGTCCATATATGGCTGATATTTTATCTGATAATACATGTTCTCGGTATCTTATGTCGAAGTTTCTGCCTGTCTGACCTGTATAAGCTGCTGGGCAGTCCCCACATTCTAGTCTGTATATGTCCAATTTTTTCCATTTATCCCTTTTGGGATAAATGTAGTAGAAACTAGACAAAAGTATTTTCTTTATTCTATATTCAAGTTTTATATAGATGTGCTGATTGAATTATTTCTTGAAGGTTACAGAAATTATCACTCGTTTAAATAGTTTATTAAATTGGCATTGAATTGATGCAGTACCCTCAGTGAACGAACTTGATTCATGTATTATTCATAATTGAACAAGAAATATTTAATAGTTGTTTGAAACTCATTTTCTTCAATTTATATGAGCCATTATAAAATTGATTCTCGATGGAACATTACTAAAAAGAAAAATTTCATTTTACTCATGGTAAGGTTAAAAAGGGAGCATCATTATATAATTTTTTAGGCTACCTTGAATCTATTTTCAGATAGTAATTGTAAAATAACTCATGGTTATTCAAAACGTTTTTTAAATTTTACACTGATAGTAATAATCAAGATTATAAATATTCAAAAATATTGCTGAGTTATCAACTTTTATTTTTTCAATAGTTCGTTTTCGTCAAGTAAAAATATACATTCGTGTACGAATGTATGCATAAAATATTTATTTTGAGAGACAAAAAAATGTTCAGTGAACCTGGGAGTTACATTATTAATGACGTCAATAAATATGTAAAGCAAACAATAAGAAATTCAGTTGAGTGTTTCCTTTTTGAAGAAATTATTCTCATAATGATGATCATTAATGTATTGTATATTGACGTAATAACTTCAGTCGGTTATTTATTTGAAGAATATAATAAGAAAAATAAATAAAAAAGTTAGAGGTTGTCATTTTGATTATTTGAATTAGTTATTTTTTTGCCAACCTATTATTTTTCTTTTGTGGAACTTGCAAGTAAACTCTTTCAATATGGCATCCTCTGTTGGAGGTGATGAACTGAGTTGTATAGTGTTTTCAGAGATATACCAAATTGACAGGAACTCGCTGTCGAGTTCCTGCCAGATGGTTCGACAAAATATGAGCTGTTTCTGAGGACTTGCGAGGAAAAGATTTTTTTGATTGGAATATATCTGAAAGCTTTGGGATATGATATATATGTAGCAATTTTTTCATACTATTACGTGTAATTTGAATTGGATTCTCAATAGGATGAAATCCTATTTTTAAAGTAAATTAACAGCATGAAATATTGGAAGTTAATGTGCAAACATAATTTATTCTGAAGTAGTTATAAATAATCAAGGACCTCTATTGATCTGTGAAATATGTGAAAAAATAGATTTTAGAGCAAAATAATAGAACATCATTGCCATAGGGGCAAGAGAATTCTTCACATAGAAGTTACTGCTACTCAAATGACATGTTTTTAGCTACAAACCAAATTAATAAAACTTCTACAGCAAATATAAATAAGGTTTGGGTCATAATTCTATTGAAGATAAGTAGGTAATTGTGGTGACTTACAGGTTCAGTTAGGAAAATGAAGAAACTTCGAAGAGTTTATGGAACTGACAATTTCTCGCGAGTAGAATACTGTACTTTTTTCTATGACTTATGTCAGAAATATTTCAAAATAAGATTGATTTGTTAGAGATAACCAAAGAGTAATTCAAGTAGTTTGGAAATTGGGCGATTAAAATAAATAAAAGAGGTCTGTCGTCACTAGGATTTGAACCCAGGAACTTCACAATGGTTAATTATTTAGTGTGACATAAAAATTCGAGTTTTAAACTGCTCTAATTTTGTTATTGAATGATGAATATCATTCATTTTCACTTCTCACCACTCACTTTTTATTCCTTGTTTGAAAAGGACAGTAAAGTTATAAGTTTGCACATCTGCGATTAACCTAAATCATAGTGCGTCATGAATCTGGCAAATGTGGTTGGTTCAGAGGTTTGTGTTATGGGATAATTTTGCCTACCTACCCAACAGGAGAAGCGGTCACATTATTAGGTAAGGCTTTTTTCAATAGCCATAGAAAAAAAAATTATATTCTGCATTCATTTCAGAAAATGTAATTTGAAGTACTGTGCAACTAATTATAGGCTAATTAAAAGGCTGTATAGCCTTTTTCAAGTACTGGGCAACTAATTATAGTTTAAAATTGATTGCATAATAAGTGGTAACATTTGGCAATCATTTCTTAATTATAAGAGTTTTTTGCGATATGTTGTGCAATGGTTTCACTTTATTTTTCTGACTTATGAGTAACAGATTCTGACTTTTATAAGCGGGAAATTTTCAGAAATCCTTTCACCTTCTTTATCCCAAATTCTGTATTTCATATTCAAATGGTTTATTTGGAATCAACTGTTCAGTGGATATTCACTGGTTTAATTAATGATGGCCATGAATATATTTTGATAGGCAATGGATTCGGGATGTTTTCATCATGTAGTTAGTGGTATTTTCATTTTAGAACTTTTGAAGAATATACACAAAGCTCGTGACGACCATCTGCGTGTAGATGAACTACACAATTATGATACTAGACAGAAAGGCAAATATTGCGTTCCCTTCAGACGCTTAAATATTAGCTTAAATTCACCTACTGTACTCTATAATAAGACTCTATAATCGACTTCCACAAAGATATTGTAATTTATGAAAGGATACATCATGGGACCTTTATTAATTATATTTTTTTGGAGTATGCAGCATATAACAACAATTGACAGTCCTTCGTTTCAATTCAATTCAGAGAAAATTATGGCTCAACTTTTTTTGAGTGTGTAAAGTATTGATATCAACATAACGATTTCTCTATTTTATGGGACATATTTTAAATAACAATTTATTTTCTGAATTCAAAAATGGGATATCTGATTTTCCAGAACAACCAGCATATCAAACAGTTGTGATTGTCAGAAAACAAAATGGTGTTAGATTGGAAGACTTTAGAGGAAAACGTTTTTGCCACCCTGGTTATGAACATGACGACCTTGTCACGAGATACGTTTTGGAAGAGTTTCAAAATAAACTACTGAATTCAAACATCAATTACTGCAATACCACAGATAATGTAACGCTAACAGAAAAACGAACAAGAGCTTTGGCTAGTTTTCTTGGACCAAGCTGCATACCAGGGAGTTGGACAGATGACGACAAACTAGATGCTAAATTGAGTAAGTAACATTAGAATTCAAATGAAAGTATTTTGTTGAAGCAGAAATCCATTCAAATCATCGTATTTCCAATGCCTTGAAAGAAATGAACCAATCATACAAACATCGCACTGATTATAAGAAAAATATTTCCTGACGGACGGTAGCCGGTCGGTTCGACGTGGGTGCTTTGTTCACTCGCTTAAATCGTCCGCCGTGTTGATCGCTGGTTCAAACCGCAGGCTGAACGCTCGATTTTCACGTGCTATCCTCCAACTCGTGTTAGGAATCACACGTTAAAAGCTGAGACCTTGTTAGTCCTTAGCTCGCACAAGTTTCGACTTCTGAGGGTTGTCGGTAGGGGTGCGACAGCTAGTTAACGGAAAAACAGATTTTTTTTAAAACCTATCTGAGGCACATTACCTTTAGGTAACCGCTCTCTGTCTTCAGCTTCAAAAAAATGTTTGTGGAATTTCCATGTAGAATTTTCTGGTCTCTAGATCTTCGAGGAATCCTATCCGATTTTCCAAGGTTTCGTAATAAAGGTGATCCTAATCAGTCTCCATATTTTTAATACGTTTACCAAAGACGAAATTGCTCTGATGCCCTAACACAGTTTTTGCATTAGCAGTTATAATCCTTTTTGCATTTTTACAGAATAAATTCCATTTGATTTTGGCGAGTTATATGGTTTAAATGAGTTTACTGCCCATTCAACCTTTCCCAAATCTACCACTTTGGCACCAACCATACCTCATTGGGCGCAGTTTTTAGGGCCCTTCAGTTCTGCATTTGTCCAGATGTTCCGGGGATGTGCAACCGGTAAAGCTCTCTTATAGAATCAGAAGGTTTTTATTAGACATGATCAAGGTATGCTACCCTCCATTTCTGAACATAGTGACTTGAACAATGTAATATCTCTTCCTGTGTCATTATTTCTCTACATCCTGGTTTTACAAAGGTTATTTTATTGCATACACATGAGATGTCTACATTGATTCCTATAACAAACCGTAGCAAATGCTCACCTCTTTCATTGTTGTCAGTGCTCTCCCCAAGTAGGTGGTGTATATTGGCATCACAACCAATCATGCTTTGCGCTCAGGTACTCTCTCACTGGGTTATTCTTTTTGATTATGTATGTATTTGTGAAAAGACTGCAACCATATTTCAAATATGTGTTGCCTGCCCCAACCATTACAAATGAATATATATCAGGCCTGTATTTTTGACTATCTTATTATTGTGAGGAACCTATTCATATTCATAAAAATGACCCTTTTTTCAGAATCTGATTATTCTAGACTGTGCGAGCTCTGTGGTCCACAGAAATGTGACCTGGTCTATGAAACGCCGTTTGCAGATTCTATTAGATGCTTGACCCAAAATGAAGGTGACATTGCACTGAGCACATTGAGAGAAGGACAACTTTTTTTCAATAATTCAAACAACAATCAAGTATTTCAGTATTTTTGTCCTAATGGAACTGTAAGTGAATCTTCAAGACCGTGTACTTGGACTAACCAACTCAACCGACTCGTTATCGCTGGAAAGTAAGTATAGGGAGGGAGGAAAGTTGTAATATAATGCAGTCTTTGATAAAATCGTTAGGAATTCTTCAAAACAATCCTGAACGCTGAAGTAATGAAAAATTGTGCATGTCATTGTGCAAATCAATGAGAAACTAACTTTTCTGTAAAATATAGTATAGGGTTTAGAAAGGTACGTGTCTTTTTAGAATATACTTGCATAATTTCATTACATAACTAATCTCAGAATATTTTTTTTGTGAAATGTAGAGGTATTGTTCAAGTATTCAATATTGCAATAATTGGTTTTTGATTATTTGAAGTCAAACTATTATGCCATTTTATTATAGAGAACATATTTGGGTATTGCCAAAGCATCGTTCAATCTTGAAAGCAATTTTTCGTTTCATTCAGCTCCCATTCAATATTAACAAGATCTTTTTAACAGATTATGATAAAGTCAAAAGGAAGAGTTATGAAATTTAGCAGTCTACGTAGAGTACACATTATGAGACATGGCCGGTGGAAAATCGGAACTCTGTGCTAACATGGGTATGTGTCAGTGAAAATATTATTGACAAAAAATGCATACAATAGAATGCATATATAAAATTCAATTGAGGGTTCTAAAAAGGTATGAATTTTGTGCCCAATTAGGAGGCATCACTTGAGACCGGCTGTGGATCGTTCTATATACTGTGTGTATGTTCTTATTTACATATATTACCTTACATATGATTGCTCTGGCATCATAACTGAATAACAATATGGTTTTTGTGCTGGGAAATCGACTGAATTATATCTAGTTACCTATTCCCACTTCCTGTCGGAATCTTTGGAAAAGGGCTGCCAGATTGATTCTGTGTACACTGACTTCTCTAAGGCGTTTGACAAGGTCAACCATAACCTGTTACTCCAAAAACTCAACAGAAATGGCGTAGGTGGGGTACTACTGGAATGAATTAGTAGTTATCTTACGAACAGGACTCAAATGGTTAGAACAAATTATCACTACTCCACGTTATTTGGAGTAACCTCTGGTGTTCCTCAGGGGTGACACCTTGGTCCCTTATTATTCAATTTATTTATTAACGACAATATTCATTGCTTCTGGCATGTCAAAGCACTATTATTTGCAGATGATTTAAAACTTTTCCTAATTATTAAAACTTCATTGGATGATAGGCTTCAGTCTGACCTTGACAATCTATCAAACTGGTGCTCCTTAAATGGCATGTACTTGAATGCCACAAAGTGCCATGTCATGCGTTTTTAACGATCCCATGTACCTTCTACCACTTTGAATGGTCATGTCTTGGAGTCTGTTAATCAAATAAAAGACCTTGGGGTTGTTCTTGATCCCACCTTGAGCTTCAATATACTTATACCCACGGCTATCCATAAAGCCATGAAAATGCTAGGGTTTATCAAACGGCTAACCCACGAATTCACTGACCCAACTGCTATTATAGCCCTTTATTGTTCACTGATCCGTCCACACCTGAAGTATTGTTCTTCTGTCTGGTCCCCTCATTGTGTAACTTATATTAAGAACATTGAAAATGTCCAACACAACTTCCTTAGATACATAGCATATAAATTGGGTGTTCGTTGTGAGTATGAGTTGCTACTGCAATCTCTGAGCATGTCCTTCCTGGAAACTAGTAGGAAACAGAGAGACCTGACACTACTGGTCTGACACTACTGAACTTCTAGAAAAGATTTATCTACATGTTCAAAACTCGACAGCAACAAACATTTTATGTACCATTTCATCATCTGAACCACACATTCAATAGCTGCATTCCAAGAATCTTACGATTATCCAATAGTAACGTTGATTTTGAGATGTTTAACATCTCCTTGCATCATTTTAAAACTCAGTTACGGAATACTGTGCTTTAATGTTATAGTGTATAGTTTATGGTAGTATATGTGGCATTCCACCTTGAGCTTCAATATACTTATACCCACGGCTATCCATAAAGCCATGAAAATGCTAGGGTTTATCAAACGGCTAACCCACGAATTCACTGACTATTTAGGGCTATTAAAGCCCTTTATTGTTCACTGGTCCGTCCACACTTGAAGTATTGTTCTTCTGTCTGGTCCCTGCATTGTGTAACTTATATTAAGAACATTGAAAATGTCCAACACAACTTCCTCAGATACATAGCATGTAAATCCGGTGTTCGTTGCGAGTATGAGTTGCTACTGCAATCTCTGAGCATGTCTTTCCTGAAAACAAGTAGAAAACAGAGAGACCTGACACTACTGGTCTGACACTACTGAACTTCTAGAAAAGATGTATCTACATGTTCAAAACCACTCAACTAGGCAGCAACAAACATTTTCGTACCATTTTATCGTTTAACCACACATTCAATAGCTGCATTCCAAGAATCTTACGGTTATCCAATAGTAACGTTGATTTTGATATGTTTAACATTTCTTTGCATCATTTTAAAACTCAGTTACGGAATGCTGTATAGTTTATATGTGGCATATGTTTTATTGTCGCTCAGTGTTTTTTGTCGTTTTATAATCTAAAATTAACCTCTTTTAAACTTTAAATTTACTCTTTTTAAGTTATTCTTAGTTGCAATTTTCAATTCAGTACCTTATCTGATTTTATTTTAATTATAATTCAACATTGTAATTTTTACTTATGGGCTTGCTCGTAAATAAACAAATATTGCACCAGGAGGCCTAAATTACTAAGACGATTTTGGTGAATGAGATGTCAACCTCCGTACAATAGAATAAGTTATCTTCAAACTGGAGGACCTACGGTATCACTCAGTGACATATGTTGTTAATTCGTCCTGGCAGTTCTCCCAATAATTGAGGTGTCACCTCGTTTTTTGTACCTCTCACAAAAATTTAAATGACTTGAGATAGGTGTTTGAGGAGGCCTTTCAAATACCTCTTCGTTCTATCTTGAAACCTGTATTTCACATAATAACGCATATTTTATGACTGAATAAATGACATAATTCACTTTTATTGGGGTAATCCTTGTAACATGACATTAAAGAAATTCTTTAAAGATGAACAGAAATTTAATTTATTTTCTAAATTCGAAAGTTATACCAGAGACGTTCCTAAAATATTACAAGTTTTTATAAAGCTCTACTTCCAAGATGACTTTTCTCTAGCAACAGATAAAGATTTAACTTTTTTTTAGAGATGCCATTCAAACAGGACCTAAAGCACCCAAAGTTTACTTGGAAGAGTTTATGAAAACTTCCCTGGGAGCTGAATCCTTGAGATCTATTCTTCCTTTGACTAAATCTGACAAAATTACCTACATCGAACCTACACCTCTGAAAACATTTGTGGAAGGTAATGTTAGCCTTTAGTATTCATTTAAGTATTTCAATATTCTCTCCTCAATGAAACTAATGCAATATATATACACTTTACTTTCAGCACGTAGAAAGATACCTTCTCTATTGGATAATATTCAATGCAATCTTACTGTGAAATGGTGTACGCTGAATGAGCAGGAACAAAAGAAGTGCCTTTGGACACAACAAGCATCATTGAATTCTGGTCTTCAGCCTGCCATAGAGTGCGTACAGAGTAATGATAATGATTCGATATCTTGTTTGAATGATATCGCTTCTGGTGTTGCGGATCTTGCTTTCACCGATGTCACTTATGGTTATCTCGCTATAAAGTAAGTATATAAAAATTAGTAGTAAGTTTAAAAAATTAGTAGATATCAGAATTATCTTTTGAAACGTGTACACCAATAAACATGACCGAATGTATAATGTAGACCAAAAAAATTTGGTACTTGAATCGATTTTTTTAATATATTGTATAATCGAAATCTTTTTTGTTTCAGTCAATATTGGTAGTTGTTAATTCTCAAAATNTCGCCCATATCTACAACTGCGATTCTCCAATTCTTGTCACAATTCAATCCCACCAATACATGCCTAATGATCTGATAACCCAGAGGGAGAAACTTCAAGTATTATTTTTTTATATTAATAATTACTAGAAATATATTCAATCATCTTTACCGATTTTTCTGATATTCTGTTTGGAAAATTTTGTGCATGAATATATTGCATGTGTTAGAGCTGACTATTTGAGTGATTAATATTGAAATATTCATCTAGTATTATGGACTGATTAATGAATATGTTTGATAAAACTTCTATTTGTTTACGAAAATCATAATCATGTGCAATTACTGAAGGCAATTGGTATGAATATATGATAATTTGATTTTTTGCTTTAAACCATGGATATTTCAATTGTTTTCATCATCATATCTCTCAATATCAACAAATAGAACCTCAGGTGAGAAGTATTTTCTGAATTTTGAAGTGGTAATGATTTACTCTTTCTGTACTGGCTATTACGACGAAATATATGTTCCTTATACATTTTTTTTTCAGAGTGGTTGGCATTCATTGATACATTGCGAACAAACAAGATTGTACCTGACAGCTGCGATTATAAGCAAGTAATCGGTGATTTTGTAGGAAGCAGTTGTTTTCCTGGAGCCAATTTACATGAATATGCTTTGGAGGATGGTAGTGTGCAAAAGTTTTGTGAACAGTGTCTACCTGCTGACAATTATGGCAAGTTTTTTTTAATCGTTGGATTATTTCTTGTTACATGAGTATCATTAATTTCAGTATAAATTTTCAGTAGTATTATTCATATCTCAACATTTCAAATATACACAGCTACATGGTAGATTAGAACTTAGATCATCTGAAATTCATGTTGTGTCCTTCAAATGAGTAAATAATAATTCAACAATTCCAGTATCTTCACTAGGGCTGCACCAAAGTCAGATTTCAAAGAAAAATAGTAAAAAGTTCAGAATGTGTTCTGTTTTCAATTCAGATCGCTGATATTGATTTTGTTTGTGTTTGATCAAGCATCATGTTCTTTTTATTGAATCTGAAAATACCCACTTTGCTTAATGCAGCATAAAGTATAATTATGTTGAAAGATTTGTTGTAAATTATCCCCTGAAATAAATCATGCCGGCCGCCGCTGGTCGTCAATCGACTGTGACTTGGCAAAAGTCGCGCTCAACTCGACTTTTGCTTCTCGATCAATCTAGATGTCGCGTCGCTTCCAGGGACTTCCCTATCGGCTTCCAGAGACTTGCATTACAATATATAAACACTACCAACAGGCAGATTGGGCAAGTCCAATTGAATGTGCCGTACAAAGTGAGCTAATGGGGCGATAGATATTCAAATATCAGTCTGAAGTTGACTTGAAGCTTTTATGTTATATTGGCAGTGAAGTAGTGAAACAAAGTTGAGTTCATTTGTAAAGTGTGGACAATTATTGTCAAACCCACGGAAAAACTTAACATAATTAACATTTTACTGCCGACTTTTTGACCAGGTTTATATAATCGTCATAAAAAGTCACAGAAATGTTATTCAGAAATCATTTCTTCATCTTCCTGACTACAATTTGACAAGTTTCATATGACTTATTTCTCTTCAATGTTCACATAAAATCTTGTATGTACGAAATTTCATATGTTTGCATATAAGTGGTGCACAATTAACATCTATTGATTTTTTGTTATCATTGATGATGATTTCAAAATGCCTTTTTTATAAAGATATAGAAAATTTTCAAAAACTCAATACATTTGAGAAAACTGAAATTCGTTTTAAACTTCATACTTTTGATAATGTCAAACGTTTTTGTACGGTGACCGAATACAACATTAGTTGTCACTCTTGACGTTTGATGAATCAAATTGGCTTGAGGTATGAAATAACCTTACCCCAAAAATTATACCTATTACCGTTTCTTGTAGCTGATTAATAATCAGATTGACTCAAAGATTTTCAATGACATCATTTTATTGAAGATTTCAGATGTCTAATAATGTTTTTAGAATTGATACTATACCAGAATAAATGACTGTCAACCCTAACTGTACAGTAGGGGTTGATCTTACGTTCTCCACCCTATGCACCAGGTAATTTGAAAAGTATGACAAAATAAATGACCTTTATTGATACAAAGAAACTTTGACTTATCAAAAAAAAAGTTATATTGTCTTCTTTATCAAAAAATACTAAAACTGACCTATTCCCAAAACATTATTTAGGGACAAAACACAAGCACTATAGAAAAATCCTTAAAGTGCTTTAAGATCGGTGCCTGTGCAAAAGTAACGATTCATGTTGGATTTGAATCGCTGGAGATTGAATTCATTGAGAAAAACGTTCTCAGGAAGTTTATTCCACATTAATGCTGTTCTCCAAATGAAAGAGGTCTCAAACTGTGAAGTTGGAGGTGTACTGAATTGAACCTCAAAACGATGAGCAGCCTCAGTCCGTCGCGTGTTTCTGATATGTACCGCTCTTGGTGGAATCAAATGTGCCAAGTCACTTGAACACCTTCCGTGAAATCAGGCGGATCTATTTTCTGGATGGAATCCAGCAGCATCGGGGTATGCTTAGAGGCGGAGCTCCATACACGAGAACAGTACTTAAAAGAAGGACTTATCTGAGCTATATAAAGCATCAGAAGTTGCTGAGGTGTGTACAGTTTTCTGTTTCGGAACAGTGTTCCGAACTTTTGAGAAGCAGCCTTTGCAATTCCAGCGACTTGATTGTGCCAAGACATATTGGTGTCTATTCGAACCCCCCAAAAAACTTATCGAAGCAGAAAGCATTATTATATCCGGTTTGGAGACATTTATCTTTTTGGAGAAAATGATGTTTAACATTTTCAACTAGCTCAGCAATTAATAAACTTTTTTAAAAACATTTTCAATACCTTGAGTTATTAATGCAATTTTTGTTAAGGATCTCAATTTTTTCAGAAAAATAAAGTAGATTCCATATTATTTGCTGGTAATGTAGGTGAATGAATTTTTGAAATTAATTTAGTAGTTTTTGACTTCATCTTCCACACTCTTTATGACAATACTTTAGATGTACAAGCACATATATTCACGAATTTCGAAAATATTTTTCAATTAATATTTTTCAGTAGACACTGCAAAGTATTGCAATTCTGATTATAAGAATAAATATTTCACGAGTGAGGGATCCCTTAGATGTCTCAAGGACCAAAATGGAGATTATGCTGTAGTGACTATAAACGGTAACTTTTTCAATTCAGTTTCGTATTTTTGTTAACCAAGGTTTGTTGTAGATATTTCTCCCAAAACCGACACTTCCGACTTTCGTGTACTCTGTAAGAATGGATCACTTTCCGAAAGAACTGGTTTGGATGTTGATGAAAAGGCTCCTCTGACAATTATCACTGCTGGAGGGATAGTAGTGAAAAATGACACAATGAAGAATACTGACATCGTACTTCTCCTGAGAGGAATAGAAACAGACTTTGGGCTGAGTTTAAGGAAAATATTCAAAGTCTTTGAGAGTTTCGATGGAAAGAGGGATTTGCTGTTTCCGGTGAGTGCTGGCGAACAATTTTCAGTCTTCAGGTGTTTCAAATGAATATTAGTTATTATCTATTAAACCTGTCTTATTTGTTCAATTATTCTTTTGGTAGCCTGAACAAAAAAGAATCATATAAAGATTATACAGGGTGTAACATAAGTACGTTAAAATATTGAAGTGACGTATTCCCGAGATAAGCAAATAGTCATTGATGAGCAGCATGGGTTTTCCCAAGGCAAATCAACAAACACCAATTTGCTATTATATTCTCAGCATATCTTGAATTCTCTGGAAAACAAACGGCAAGTGGACGTAATATACACAGATTTTTCCAAAGCATTTGATACGGTCAACCACAGTATCCTATGTGCAAAATTGAAGGCAGTTGGTTTCTTTGGAAGTTTGTTAAGTTGGATCTCAAGTTACCTTTGTGACAGAACACAATTCGTGAAAATCAAAGGATTTGTATCTCGAGAAATCTCTGTTAGCTCGGGGGTACCACAAGAAAGCCACCTGGGACCATATTTGTTCAATCATTTTGTTAATGACATTAAAAAATATATCAATCATTCTGAAATTTTGATGTTTGCTGATGATCTTGAAATATTCAGGACTATTAAATCCAAAGAGGACTGCGAGAAACTTCAAATTGATACTGAATCTTTCATAGATTGGTGTACTGATAACGGCATGGATGTCAATGCAACTAAATGCAAAAGTATGTCTTTCTCTCGATCAAGTAATCACTTCATCACTGAATACACAATTGAAGGTAAACCATTGGAATCTGCAAAATCTATACGTGATCTAGGTATTGTAGTCGATGCCAAAATGGATTTCCATCTCCATTATGAACATATCACTAGCAGAGCGATGAAAATGTTAGGCTTTATAAGCAGATTAACAAAGGATTTCACAAATGTTAACTCCATAAAGGCATTGTACTTTTTATTGGTAAGATCATTTTTGGAATACTTCAGTTGTGTTTGGTCCCCGAAATATGAACTTTACAGTTATAACATAGAGAAATATATTGCCTTTAAACTGAGCATGCTTCTGATCGATCACTCACTCTCAGATATCCGTTTCAAAACAAATATATCGAAACTCAGTACTCGTAGAATTCATGCAGATATTATATTCCTCCATATCGAAAATTGATTGTTCAACTCTTCTTTCTGAAATTAAACTTTACGTACCTCCTAGAAGGACACGGAACAATCAAATGTTTGCAATCGACTTCCACAGGTGTAATTATGGTAAAAATTCTCCACAATAGTTTCTAATGGCAATAAGGTTGATCTTGACTTATTTTCTATTCCTGAATGTTCTCTTAGAAATAGATTGAAATATATTCAACTGTAAATCACAGGAATAAGTGCTCAAATATTCAAATATTTCTATTTTTAGGTTATTAGTATAATTAAAGTTAGATTAGTATTAGTGTTTACTTCCTAAAATGTATTGAATTCGTGTATACAAATTGGGGTTACCCGTAGATAAATAAATAAATAATTTTAAGAAAGAAAGTCTATATGAACTTGTGTCCGAAAATGCTTTGTTTCGGAGATACGGGGTGTTGAAATTGAATTTTTTTGTTCGCTTTTTGAAAATAACTCTTGCACAAAATAAGTTATTTGCACGAAATTTGGTACCCAGGGTTTTTTTGACGTGGGAAATCATAATTTCGTATTAATTTTCATGTAACATCTAGAGGGCGCTGCGTACGCTGTCATTATTTATTTCAAATTGCCCTAACTTTTTTGACAGTAAACTTTTGGTACTTTTCATGAAAAAACCTAATTCCCACACCTTTTCCAAGTGAAAAAGGTATACCTCCTCAACATGCTGGAGGTGATGGTTTTCGAGATATTTACAATTTTCTATATCGATGCATATTACTTTATAGCCAAATTTGATTTCAATAATTTTTGTCCCTCTCCGCTTGCAAATTAAGTTGATCAAATCGAGTAGGCTATGAAAATTTGTTTATAAAAATAGAAGTTCGCTGTCACATTTCCAACTATTAATTGACAAATTCACAGTTCGGAGTTTATAAAGTGATTTTTTGGTACTATGCCCGACTTTACGAATGCTGAAATGGCTGATATGGTTTTTGCATACGGCTTGGCTGACAGAAATTCAAGCGAGGCCAGTCGCATCTATCAGGAAAGTTATCCCCAACGCGTGACTCCTTGTGCAGCGACATTTGCGAATCTTTTCCGGCGACTTTCTGAATCTGAAAGCTTTAAAACAAATTCTACAGTAGGACGGCCACGGACTACAAGAACTGTAGAATTGGAGGAGGCGGTTCTCGAAGAAATTAATGAACATCCAGAGACAAGTACAAGAAAAATTAGTCAAACTTACATGTATCGAATTTGCTCAATAGCTTCAAAGAAAAGTCGAACAACATCCGCAAATTTGATCGAAAATCCTCTTCACAGATGAGGCTAATTTTTCAAGAAATGGTATCATGAACTTCCATAACAACCACATCTGGGCGGAAAATAACCCACATGCGATAAACGCAAACTCATTTCCAAGACAGATTCTCATTTAATGTATGGTCAGTCATAATTGGGGATTATTTAATTGGGCCCTATTTTCTCCCCTTACGTTTGCATGGAGATGCTTACCTACATTTTTTGGAACACGAGCTTCCCCAACATGAGGAAGATGTTCCCATTGGTCTCCGAAATCACTCTTGGTTTACGCACGATGGAGCTCCTGCTCATTTTAGTGTGATAGCAAGAAATTTTTTAGACGTAGCATATCCCAACGATGGATAGGAAGAGGAGGCACTGAGCATTGGCCCCCGAGGTCACCGGATCTCAATCCCGTCGATTTTTTCTTTTGGGGACACCTAAAATCACTAGTTCATGCTAGCCCCATTGAAAACGAGGAAATGTTGAGGAATCGCATTATAGCTTGCTGCGAAACGATAAGAAACAGGGAATTCTTTGATGAGGAGAGCAGAAGCTTGTATTACTGTTGGGGGTCGTCACTTTGAACAGTTATTTATTTCTGGAAAACAGGTCAGAATATTTTCTCAAAAAGCAGACAAGACCCAAGAAGTACAAGGAGGGCACTGTCAAAAGGCCAAGTATACAAAAGAACTCCTTAGGGGCTGTCCATTAATGATGTTATGTTTTTTCAGCACTTTTTACTTCCCCTACCCCTTGATGATACGTGGTGAGGTTTGAGACTAACACCTTGCCCCCACCCAAAATCACGGGTATTTTTTAGTACCTACAAAGAATCTTGAAATTTTCAAAATATTATCTTGAAATACAGGTGTAAACTATAATCTACTATAATCTAATTTTATTCTGAAATTAAGGACCATGACAAAAATGTCTAGACAAAAAGGTTCCAGGTTGTTTTTGACTGGCATATAAATATTATTAAAGGAATAGTGTAGTCATGCATAAAACATTGTACTAGTACATCGACATATAAGGACCATGGATTAGCAAGACTTTCTTCAGCACTAACAACTTCATAAGTTCTTCTTTCCTAATATATTTTTGTTTCGCATTAGGCCACAACTCATTAAATTATTTCTGGGTCATACATACCACACTACACGCCGCTATTCGTTTAAAATTCGCGCGTTTGACGAAAAAATAAAAACAGGTGATATCTCACTACACCCCCCTCCCCCTTGTGGTATTTCGTGATTTTTGCCAACACTCCCCTTTCAAGCCTCACGCGATTGGACGGTCTCTTACAAGAGCCTCTTCGATCTAGATTCAGGATATATTTCATAATTATTTTCAGTAATGAATATTTTTTATGAGTATACTGATGAACCCCAAAATATGTTTATTTTCTTTTCGGGCTTTGTGAAAACTAATGTACCTGGTCCATTTGTATAATTTATCAATTTATTGTAAATAACAAATGAATTATAATTTTCGCAGGATTCCACTACTGGACTCAGTTTCACTGGTTCTCAAGGGGTTTATGTGGAGAATTTCAAAAAGTTGATCCAGAATTCAGAAAAATGCTCAAAGGATCCCAATTCGAGTGCCTCCTACAATGTAATACCCAGTACAATAATACTGATTTTGGGCTGTTTTATATTAAGATTTTAAACAAGTATTTTCCAAAGAAATAATTTTATATTCTATGGTTCTCTTCCTGATGAAAAGAAGGAATTTTAGGAATGGCTGTGGAGCTCTCTGAAAGGACATTTTTCAGGAAATTCAGAATCTGAAGGACTTGTAGAGAATACATCAAATTTGCACGAGATGACAAAATAATATTGAAATTGAGGATTCAATTCAATGAAAGTAGTATAACAAAAAATTAACTTTAAAATCCACTCATGAAAACTTACACAAATATTTCACATCATAAGTAGTGATAGTAGTGATACTTCTGGCTACTAAAACTATTTTTATTGAGCATCGAAAACCTTATGAAAAACTAGATTGAACTGAATGACGAAAACAGATTTATATATCGTTCGTACAGGACCACAAAGATTGTAAGATACTCAGCGTTATGAACCTCTGGTCATAAAATAAAATCATAAATTTCAGGTGACATCATTTTCTGTTGTTTATAATTTTTCACTATTCAATGATTTTCATCTCGTACAGTTGTTCTGTTTCTGAAAAATGAATCCTTCATCACTTATTGGTGAATTGTTTTGTATTTTTGAGAATATGCCAAAAATTTACAATCTGTATTTTTTAATATGTATACAAAGATGTTATTCAACTTCAGTTGAATCCCATTGTATTCTCTTTATCCTATCATAACTTTATATGAAACATTTGTTGGTGTATTTTAAGATTTTATCACTATTTAATTTCAAGTTTTGTTTTATTTATTTCCTATAGAACTGGTCTGTACTTAAAAACTATATTTGTGGTTTGTTTGACAATTGACTATTCTTGAATACCTAATTAAATATTGTTGAAGCACCTTTTTTTATTCTAAATTATATTAACAGGTGGAATTGAAACCTCTGAGACCAGAACAAAAAAAAACTATCTCTCGACAAGTGTTTCGCTAAACAAATTAGCATCATCTCCTCGAATGATTTAAGACTCTCTCTTTCAGCTCGTATTGACAAACTCAACTCTCGAGATTAATGGCTACATTTCTCTTTCGTTGAATAATATACTAGTGTATCAAAATTTTCCAACAGTTTGACTTCTAAAAATGAAGGCATACAAGATTCCACTATACATTTCATTGTTGATGAATAAATACATTAAAAATGGTCATGGTTATTCCATTTACAGAACTCCTCCATATTGTGCAATTCTGATTGCTTAAATTGAAAGCGGTATGTTTTTAGGAGAGATTAAATTTTGAGTTTCAAAATAAACTCTTTACAAAGATGTGTAGATCATGCAAAGAAGTAACTTTCAAACACAAACTGGAAGAAAAAGCCATCTCGAAACAAGTACTTTCATATAAACATTCAGTTACATGAAAGAAAAAATACTATCAAAACAATTATTTTTATATGAACATTGAATTATACAAAAAACAATTTTTCCTCTTCAGTTTGTACTCCAAAGATACATTATGGAATTGAATCACGTATCATTCACAGGATTACTACACAATATAGTACATGAGAGATGAAATTTCACTTATATGGATTCTCGTCCTCAATGGCGGACATCGATGTTTAGGAATAAGACACTTGTCTTATTGTCTCTTCAGGCACCAATCTGAATAACATTACAAAATGAAGCACTCGATTCATTCATAAAATCATGACTTTCAAGAATAAGTTGAAGCTACTTGTGTCATCGATTACAGTAGGTACATGATGACATTCAATCGCTTATTTGATTTAATCCCAGCCATAAGAATCTTTTTCAAATTGGGAGGGGTAGATTTTCAGGTAAGAATAATTTTATACTAGATGCTCTCAATGATAACGGAAAACAGCAATAAACAAGAAGACCCTATTTTGTACTTTCCAGGTTAATGAGTTTCAACTCGTCTCCACATACATTATTGACCTTGGAAACATTAAAAATAAAAAAGCATCATTCAGTTTGGAAAAATTTCCCCAATTTCTGAAAACTTCTGTGGAATTCCTATTTACAAGGGATGTGACAAAAATGATACTTATCCATGAAAATAATTATATAATTTCAACACTATGAATTTTACTCATTTATCAGTTGGACATCAGTCCCACTGATGACGCTACTGTGTTTCGAAACTCGTATTTGTAGTGTGGAAATTGTATAACTATCATGAATAGTATTATTAATTTATATCAAGTAACAGTCAGTGTATTCATAAAAGTCATTCGTCAAAACACCTGCCCAGTAATAATAACTAGACTTTTATTGACAATAAAATATGAAACTGATAGTGAAAAGTCTATCTCAGGCTATTCCACTTAACAATCAGAGGGGCTTGCACCCCAAAAGAGATGTTTTATAGTGAATTAAATTACGGTTGTTTGCTTCATAGGTGGGACAATAGCCGGTCGGTTCGACGTGGGTGCTGATTCAACACGGCCGCCGTGTTGGTCGCTGATTCAAGCCCCAGGCTGAACAATCAATTTTCACTTGCTATCGTCCAACCCGTGTTAGGAATCACACGTTAAAAGGTAAGACCTCGTTAGTCCTTAGCTCGCACAAGTTTCGACTTCTGGGGGTTGTCGTTCGTAGGGGTGCGACAGCTGGTTAACGGAAAACAGATTAAAGAAAGATTACATAAATATGAAAGGTTTGTATGTTCGCCATCTTGATTTCATTCGGATTGAAGCCTAGCTTCCTTACCCTTTAAACTGGCTTTTGTCAAAGAGTCATAACTGATTTGTGATGGCGGCATGAATGTCCTCAGACATCAGTACCGCCCTTCGCGATGTGCCCCTATCTGACTGGGGTGAGATGGATGAAGATATTATTCGCCTATTAACGGAGGACATGGGGACCTCATTCGACAGAGTGTCGGGGCCTTTTATATCGGGAGGGGTCGTCTACAGCGTAATCTATAGCTTCCCTGACTAACGGATTATCGTGAGTTTCCGCGCAATCGAAAACTCGCCGATTCCTCGACTGAATGGACTGCTTAATGGAAGGCAGCTGCAAATCTCTGCGGATGGCTTCGTTCCGCACGAACCACGGAGCATTCACAATCATCCGTAGTAATTTGTTTTGTAAAGTCTCCAAGATGGAAATGTTTGACGGAGCCGCTTGTCCCCAGACTCCTGAAGCATACATGATGATAGGCTTGAACATCGTGTTGTAGATCGTAACTTTGTTTTTTAGGCTTAGCTTTGATCATCTATTTATCAGATAGTACAGTCTTGCCACCCGACCCTCGATCTTTGCCTTCATGCTTATAAAGTGCGTGTTCCAGGTGAGCCTACGATCTATTAGAAGGCCGAGGTACTTTAACCGCGCCTGCCAGTCGATCTCCCCTGCCAGAGATTCTAACTTTTCTGACTGGAGAAGATAGTATATTCTTCCCATGGTTATCATCTGGGTCTTTTCCGGGTTTACTCGGATCTTCCATTCGAGGTACCAGCGCTCGAGGTCGTCCAATGCGCTCCCGGGATCCATGGAAGATGAGAGGAGAGCTGTGTCGTCGGCGTAGAGGAATATCTTCACATGCTCAGACCTCGGAAGGTCGCTGGTGTAAAGAAAATACAGCGTGGGAGAGAGCACGGTACATTGTGGATCTCTCTGTTGTCAGAGAGCCCTCTACTCTAACCTGAAATGTTCTGTCTTTCAGGAAAGACCCAATCCACCGGATCAGGCCCCGAGGCAGGTCGAACGCAATTAATTTATGCAGAAGTTCTTCGTGCCAAACACGGTCGAAGGCCTTCGAGATGCCTAAAAGGACGGTATGAACTTTTCTGCTTCGATTCAGCTCCGCGATGGTATTTTCGACCAGTCTCAGATAGCCTGTAACTCAGTGGAGCGCTCTCTCCTGAAATATGAAAGGTTATATGATTTGGCACATAATATTGAAGAAGAATTTTGTCCTGTTGAGTTTTAGTGTTTGGAGAGTGATAATTTTTGAATTCTATATTTGAATATATCAATATTATACATTTTAAACCTCTTCTGGTAACATATTGTATATACCTACGGATAGCATTAAAGACCTTTGACCTCTGAAAATTGCTCTTCTATGCTGAGGCGTGGTGAAGGTGGTCTTGTTTCTGACATTCTTTGATTGAAACAACATATCAGGTCTGGTGGGTCAGGGTTATTCAAAAGTTGAGTCAAGTTACCTTCTATTTTCCATATTGAGCCACTATAATTCAATGAGTTTATTGGGTTTATATAACCTTTTGAACTCACATTTTATATTTTATCAATGATCCTTAAGCATGGACCATAAATGAAGTCACAATAATTGAAATGTATCGCATAGTGTAGGTACCTACATTTCATTTTGGAATTGAAAATATGCCGATTGCTCTAAATGCCCACCAGACTTTTGATGTACTGGGAGAAACGCATATCAGAATTTATGATAAGTCCCAAATTTCTAGCTGAGTAACTTAGTCTTAATAGAATGTAGAATATAATGAACTTCTTTAATTGTAATCAAATAAAAATAAGCGTTTAGTTACTTCAACCATAACTATAATAATAGTAACTAACAGTATATAGAGTGAATGCCGATTTGGGTTTCATTTATTACTAATGAAATTCATTTGACAACGTAATTTCAGTGTTCAGTTTATGACTGCCTGCTTTTTTATTTCATTTATTTTCTAAATTGATATGATGAGTTAGTCTACGATTTTGAGGAAAACTTCTTTAATACTGTGGTGTGAGAATGTTTAGGGATGTGTAATTTCCTCTGAACCAGACTACTACATTCCCAAGTTGTAATTTTCAATGATGATTTCAGGTTGAAGGACCGTAAAATATTAACAAATTGAAAGTTACAGTGTAATAGTAGCTCTGCAAAATTAGGAATCCCAATGAAGTATCCATACCGAAAGTGCCCAAAATAAATTAGTGATCCAGTTAGACCATGTTGAATGAATGTAATTTGCCTGTTACTTTCTCTGTAATACATATTAATACTCATCTAGTAAGAATGTTCTACTTTGATGGCCTGGGCCATGTTTGGTATTTAATCACCGCAGCATTATATGGTTAGAACCCCATGCAGGTCACATCAGTTCATGAGAAGATTCATACATGTGGTCAAATTCTCGTACCGACTCAGGATCATTAGTTTTGAATAATCTATTATAAACCATAGACTAAATGCGTTCTAAAATAGGTCCTCTATGGAGATCAAAACACATATATCAAGATGAAGAAGTAGAAAACCAAAACCTTTCTTTCCCAAAGATACATGCTACTTTTTCGACTTTACATAAAGTAGAAAAGTTAGAGATTTTTCTTCCTTTCACAAATACTTCTAAGGGTGGTACTCATTGACAGTTTCATTCACTTTCCCCCAGTTCATCTATTCATAATGATACTATGAATTGCTATGAAATGCCATTTTTGTTTAGTCACCCGAGTTGTGGAACTAACTTGTTTGAAGAAATTTATCCTCGTATTATAACAATGATTTTTGTCTCACTTCTATTTGTGCTGTCACTGTTCAATTAACATTTAAGAGGATACCTTACGGCAAGAATAATGCAGTTGCAATATATTTTCTTAATGTCTTTTATTCTTCTTTGAAACTAATAAATTCAAAAATTGCATTTAATGCATAATTATCTGTTAAAATACAATCAGAGGATGTTTGGCGTACTCTTCGAATATCTGTATCCACTTAAGATATCTTCCATTTTTTACTTCGGACTGAATTGATAGGTCATTAGCGATATTCACAAATGGCGTTTCGTCTGTATCCATTTTAGGCCAACTTATGTTCTGAAGAAGTGGGTCTTTTGTTGGTGTCGGGTTCCTAAAAATGAAAAATTCCAGAACTTATAATGTTTCAGAACGAATAATCAATGTGAATGCTTTTCAGATTAAAAAAGAAGAAATTTTTTGACACTGTATTTTTCTAATGTTCAATTCAAGTAAACTATACAATGAACCCTCATGTATCTACAAAACATGTCAACCAGTGCATGTTTTGTAGATGTTTACCAAATAAATCACATTCTATGATTGTCCTCTAAAAACAGCCTTCAGTGTTTGTGCGGTTAACCGTAGAAAGTATGTCCTGCAGTGGAGGTTGTTAGAATACCCATTCCATTAAGATATCATCTGTGAAGTTAAGAATCCGCATCATTCTAAGGTGTATAGGTACTTCCGTACCAAAATGATGTTCGATTCTTGCCGTCATTTACGGGACCTTCATTAAACCGGGCATCCTTAGCCTTCATAGTAATGCGAGGTTCTGCCGTGACGGACCTCCTTTCTTCAGCTACTCGTGTTGTTCTCTTTATGGACCATGAAGTAACCAAAGAATCCGATCCGAAGTCTACACAAGAGATGAACATCGACTAAACGACTCCAACTGTCCTCTGTAACATCGGAGCAAGCGCTTCTCGTTACGTCAACGCTGCTGTTAACAAACCTAGCAAACTAGGTGGTGCAGCCAGGGAACAATACTATTGCCTTCTCGAGAGCAGGATATCTTTTGAATATGCCTTGCAACAAATTCTTGAGTAACAACAACAAAATTCGCATCAAGGGAGATAACAAATTCCCCGTGAGCATGTCAGCAAATGCTTGAACGAAAAAGTTCTGTTCAGCTAAATTCAATAAAGCTGACATATAGACGAATAAACTGAGGTTTATTGGTTGAAAAATTGACACTCGAAAAATCGACAAGTTAAAAAGCAGAAGGAATTTTATAAAATAAAAATTGCTTATCATTAGTCAATATATCCATTCCCGCCCGGACTTACTTTCAATGAAACATTTTTACCCCCGAGAATGATCAACCAATCAATCAAGATATGCTTTATTGTCAGAAGAATATAATTCTCGTAGACAAAGCTAAACAACGTGATTTGGTCAAACAATTAGTTAGATTACATCTACGTAAAAATCTCAACATCTAAATCCTAACACTAATATACATAAATTGAGATTTATACATGTTTTACAACTCTACACATGATTTTTATATTAATATATGGATACATGCTGAGATGTTTTATGAGCAGCCCACGTAGTAAACATACAGTTCTGAAGATAATTAGTCAAAAGTGGAGGAACAATATTTATTAAGGGTACCTGTAAGGTGAGATTGCAAGCAGTAGTTTTTTGGACGATTTTCTGAAACGGTTAATGCATGCGCTGTCCTTTATAACTGTCGGAAGATGGTTGTAGATTTTAATCCCATTATAGATGATTGAATCCTTTATTAAATTGCTGGAGGGGATAGGTAGTCTGAAGAGAGAGCTTTGCCTCGATTCACGATAATTCAGGGATCTGTCCTGTCGAATATGTCTGTCGAATATGGGACAATACCAATCCACATGAGATGTGAATTTTGTGTTGGCGGCGCATCGGTCCATATTTATTTGTGAACGACGTTGGTCAGGCCATCCCTGTCAACAGCGAGCAATATAGGTCGATGATTACCAACTTCTTTTGGTCTGAATTGGATGATCTGGTCACCAACGATATGTGGTTTCAACAGGACGGCGCTATATGTCACACAGCTCATGCCTCATTGGATATTCTACACGAGCGATTTGAGGTCATAGTCATCTCACGTAGAGGTGATGTGAACTGGCCACTGAGATCGTTCGATTTTACTCTGTTAGACTTTTTCTTGTGGGATTTTCTTAGGTGTATGCGAATAAGCCACAAACCACAGCGATCCTTAAAGCCAACATAATCCATGCCATTGGTCAAATTCAGCTTGATTTATGCGACAAAGTCATGAAAAATTGGACGTTTCAGACGCACTCCACCCAGTGAAGCCACGGCGAACATTTGAACGATATTACATTCCACACATAATGGCATCTATAGGTCTTTCAAATGGATAAAAATATTCGATGATATCTCACAGACACTTTGTTTTATTTAAATTTAAAGATGAAAGCGCCTAATGTCCATTATAGATGATTGAATCCTTTATTAAATTGCTGGAGGGGATAGGTAGTCTGAAGAGAGAGCTTTGCCTCGATTCACGATAATTCAGGGATCTATGTAAGGTATGTCTATTCTTGTGTACGAGGCTCACCGTCTCAAGTATATAAAGTGATGTTACTGTTAATATTTTATGATGCTTAAATAATTCTCTACACGAGCATCTTCGATCCCATATCTCATGTGGGATTCAATCAGAGCGAAATAAGCAGTTCTGGCCGTGGAACTACCCAAGTCATTGGAGATTATACGGACTGCGTAATGAGCTAGAAGTTAAATCGGTTTTGTTGGAGTACTGTTACTATTCTTTCTACGAATTTTTGAATATAGGTCCTTTGCATTTCAAACAGTTATGATTATTTTATAATTTGCAATCTGTTTGATATATGTATATTTTTTTGTAATTTGTGTATAATGTGAGTCTATAAATATATGCATGTCTTTATAGGTATGTCATCTGGAAGTTTATAAGATATAGTGGACTTCCGAACTTGACAGCCTCTTGTTAAAGCTACATCTGTCAAATTATGTCATTTATTCAGTCTGGATGTAGCATTCAACAACACGTGCAAATAATAGAATTAGTTTATCAAAATGGGTGTTCTGTTCGGGCAACGTATTGCGCACTCAGCCCATTTTACGGTCGTAATAATCGTCCTACCAAGAGGACTATTTGCAATGTGGTGGATAACGATTGATCAATACCCGTGCGTCGACAAAACGCAAAATTTGACGAAAAACATCGCCGCTGTCTGTGAGAGTGTACAGGAGAATCAATGGCAGTCGATTTCGCGTAGCTCACAAGAATTCAGCTTTTCGCAGACCACAACTTGGCGAAATTTGCGTCGTCACTTGGGCGAGCACTCGTACAAAATTTAACTGACCCAGGAACTGAAGGTAAGCGATCATAGACAACGACGTGTGTTCACTGAATGGGCTCTGGAGCAGTTGGCAACTGATCCTAATTTTCAGTGAACAATTATCTTCGGCGATAAGGCCCATTTATAGATGAATGGGTATGTGAACAAACTAAATTGTCGAATATGGGACAATACCAATCCACATGAGATGTGAATTTTGTGTTGGCGGCGTCATCGGTCCATATTTATTTGTGAACGACGTTGGTCAGGCCATCCCTGTCAACAGCGAGCAATATAGGTCGATAATTACCAAATTCTTTTGGTCTGAATTGGATGATCTGGTCACCAACAATATGTGGTTTCAACAGGACGGCGCTATATGTCACACAGCTCATGCCTCATTGGATATTCTGCACGAGCGATTTGAGGTCATAGTCATCTCACGTGGAGGTGATGTGAACTGGCCACTGAGATCGTTCGATTTTACCCTGTTAGACTTTTTCTTAGGTGTATGCGAATAAGCCACAACCACAGCGATCCTTAAATCCAACAAATGGATAAAAATATTCGATGATATCTCACAGACTCTTTGTTTTATTTAAATTTAAAGATGAAAGCGCCTAATGAAAGACCTATACAATCCAGACATGCTATAAATATACCAATGGTCAATGGCCGACCAAGCAAAACCAACGACCACCCCCACGAGTCGCCGTCAGGCGACTCAGGTAAGCATAGCACTAATCAGACAAACTCTCTTTCAGGTAGGTTCAACGCAGAACAACTCGACCGCGATTCACTTTTCTTTAGATTCACTGAGGGAATGCTCGATGCTAATAACAATAGCCGCCAGTTAGTTTTTGGGGGCCTCCATGCAAAAATTCAGTTAGCAATAGTCATGACAAAACATTTAACCGATCGCGAAAGAAGGCTGACTTTCGACCAAAAGAGGTCAGATGTGAATCTTGCTGAAGTGCCCATCAGTAAGTTGAGGACCGCTCGGAGAGCGGGGTGGATGGATTGGGGTATTAGGTTCTCCTCGCAAACTAGCTGTGGGAGGAAGCTTCTACTTCAGGGCACTCAACCCGGGAGTGGGCATGGGGGGGTATGTAAAGTGGTAAATAGATATCTATCTATCTATACACACCCCCAGGGTAAAACCAAACTCATCCCGGTACAAAATTTAACTCTGGTACAAAATTTAACTCTGGTACAAATTTTCAACCGTTTTTCCTCTTGTCTACCACATTTCCGGACGTACTGTATAATTATAGCAAGAAACGTAAATGTTTTAAACAGACATCTTACCTGAAAATGTAATTATTCACAAGAAATGAGTTATCTGTGCATACAACAAACAACATAATCACTATTGTTTTAGACTATTAGTTCATTGTGAATAGTAACATCATCAAATGAAATAGATTTTTACCATAATTCATATTCATAGAATTTTGCTTTATGAATTGGTTACAAAAAAAACATATTTCAAACAGATTCGTCCTTGTTTGAAACGTGAAATTTATTAAAGTAATAATAGCAACTCATAACAAATGTCATCAATGATTGCATTACTGAAGGTTATACTCCGCATTTACAGTTTGAAATTCAGAAAGATTATGTACCCAGTTTTTCAGTAATTATGATAAAAGAAATTATTAACAGTAGGGAGAAAAGAATTTAAAAAAAGATAGAAAGAGATGATATGGGTGAATACAAAGTGCTAGGAATCACAAATTAAAAGGTAAGACATCGTTAATCCTTACCCCACACAAGTTTCGATTTTTGAGGGTTGTCGTTCGTAGGGTAACGACAGCTGGTTAACGGAAAACAGAATAGTTTAACAACGAGATATGAAACATGGTACTGGAAGTAGCGAAAGTTAGAAATCATAACTCCAGTGGCTATGCTTTTCAAAATCAATACGTTTCTTCACTATACTGTTATGCTTTATGAGCTGAATCGAAGCAGTTTATCAAGTACTCACATGTATTTGGCAAAATTAGTCCATATTTTGACCATTCTTTTTTGTGTAAGAACATCCGCCTCCGAAAAAATACTCAAATCTGTATTGTCATAACTGTTCATTTTCCGTTTGAAAATATAATATAATTCTTCGCCGTGAGTACATTTTTCAGCACCTGAAATTTCAAAATGAACTTTATAATTTCAACATAATGCGAGATTAACCTGTATAGAAACAAAACTTGATTTTGACATAAGTAATTCTGGGAATGAATTATGTTTTTTATTAAAGAGGTAAATTCCGTTTTTTTTATTATATTGATGGAATGAATTAATGAATTTTATTTGATTTGAAGTTAATTTCTTCTTCTTCTTAGAGCTGACCAATGGTTTGGCTTGGTTGCAGAAAGCTATAATGAATCACATCAGCCGCTGACCACCATGGTCCTTTTTTGGTGGGTTTTCGCTTTTGGCAAGCACCTGGATGGCTCATTGGTGTCCAACCACTGTGCTAAACATCTTCTGTTGTCGTAGAAGATCCACTTTTCATTACTTGTGACGATTCGATCCAAAACACGATCGTTTTGGTTGCGCAAAAGCAAAGAATAAATGACCTCGAAACGTGACAATTTCTATCGATTGTTCAAATCGTGGGGCACCCACTTTCCGAGTTTTTGACCTTTCCAATACATTTTAAACCATCAAAAACCGTATGGGAGTTGATGCTCAGTTCTTCCGCCATCCCATGCACCGTTTGCGATGGATTAGTCTCCACCAGGGTCCTCAAATCCTTGTCCTGGATTACTGTAGGTCGACTACTTCGGGCTCATTTTTCTCAAACAACTAGTATACACCACGATAAGGTAGAATGAATATTTATTGAGCTACAAAAACACATGCCAATAAAAAACACAACACTTTTGAACAACCTAATAAGTTCTGACTTTGAACCCATAATTTTTGGATCTTTTACGCCTTCGCACTACTCAAACTCCACCCCTGGTTATAAAAATGGTACATGACCCTAATGAGAATGTTTTCGACTGCCGCGTACTATTTTTTAAATATTTAGACCTATAAAAAATCAAAGATTAGTTCCTTTCCTTTGTTGGTTATTAAAAATATTGGAAAAAACATTTGTGGACCGTTTTTGTTTTGACGCCCTGTATATTCATTTTTCAGTAAGTTGGAACCATATGGAAAACACTTTTTGGTAATGTACCTACTTTAATATTTGGCAATATCAAACATTTATATTTAAAAATGTTGATCAGAATGAAAAATCACATTCAAAAATTACACCAATTTACAATAAAAAATTAAGTTATATTTCACCAAGTTTTCTACATTGTGAAATAATTTTAATTTTGCTAATTTCAATAATGAACATTTATCCCTCGAGATTATTAAAAACAATATTATTTTCGTTCCTGGATTTTGTCTAGCTACTTTACATGCACAATAATTACAGTTGAATTTTCTGGGAAAGAAAGATTTTGGCCTTCTACTTCTCCATCTTCATCATACAAAAAAATGTAGGAATCTTCCAAAGAAAGGAAGCCCTTTTGAAACAGCTATTTTCATATAAACATTAAATTACACGAAAAAAAAAACTTTCGAAACAAATTCTTCAAGATGCGATAACGTCAGTTATAGGACATTGTCATATTTGCCCGAATAATAGTCTAAGTAAATTTATTGAAAACAATAAAGACAAAACTTCGGTGTCGGATACATCAGGAGTATATACGCTGACTTGTGGCTCTTGCCCAAAACTGTATATTGGCCAAACAGGGACAACATTTTCCCAAAGAATTAAAGAGCATCGAAGTAGTTTTGTGAATAGAAAGATCAATTCCAAAAATGTGTGAACCACCTTCTAGCAGAAGGTGGTTCACACATTCAATCAGGAATACGATGTGTTACATTCAAAGGAAAGAGTTTGAAACTCAATGTTCTAGAATGTTTCAGGAATTCGGGTAATTTACTGGTTGATCAATCAGAATTGAATAACTCTTCTTTACTGAATATTTTTTCAAATATGGAAACTGAGACATAAGCTCAGGTAATTCAATTCATTACAAATTTAGGTAGAAATCAGGTATTTGGAATGTTGGTACTTCAAATAAGGTATATCAAGTATTGAATATGTAGAATTAGTTAGTAAAGACAGGTCCGAAGAAGCCATTGTATGGCGAAACACGTGTTGCGTTTTTGTAAAATCGTTTAGTGTAAATCTCACAATAAAATGTTTTTTGAATACTTTTATATGAACGCTGAATTATACGAAGGACACTTTTCTCTATTCCGTTTGTATAGCAAACATTCGTTATGGGATCGAATCAGATATCATCCACAGGGTTTCTACACAATATTATTCATGAGAGAAGTAGAATTTCACTTACATGGAACACTGTCATACTCACCGCCAGACATCCGATGTTTCGTCATAAGACACTTGCCTTATCGGCTCTTCAGTAGCAAATATGGATAACATTATAAAATAAAATACTCAATTCGTTCATAATTACAACTTTTTGTCCTTTCTTTGAAAGATTTACACATGTTTTGTATCAATAGTAGTAGAAGGCCAAAAACTTTCCCAAAAATTAATCTCTCCCTTTCAATTTAAACAAGATGACTATGGCCGGGATTTAATCAAATAAGCCAATGAATGTCATTACGTACTGTTATCGATGACATTGGTGGATAGAACCCATTCCGTGGTTGCTCAGATATAGCCATTGTAAGTTTTTAAATTGTCACCCTGTATATGTCACTTTATGAAATGTACAAATCTTTCAGTTTTTCTTGTAAATTTTCGACGAATGGTTCAATTAAGATCTTACCTGGTAGACTGATATTTGTATTTGCTCCCAATACTCCAGCATATGAAAACTGATAAAAATATACATCGGTATATTTTGACTGCAATTGGGCGTGTCTTATACAAGGATTGTAGAAACGACTTTCGCTTTTGTACTGTAAAAGTTAATATAATTTTGCTGTGAGAATTTTTTTTTCGAAATTGGTTAAGTGGTGTATTGAAATGGTAAATAACAGATCATTAAAAGCAAATAAATACTTAGAAAGGAAAAAAAATCCCTCAGAAGTGATACTCAAAAAACTGTTCTAAGGAGTAAAAGCAGTTTCGCACTAGAGAATCTTTAAGTTTTCGTTTGAAAATGAATATTGAACTGCTATTTTTAATGTTTTTTGGAATCGAATTGAATAGTATTGGAGCCAAGAAGTTTGGGGCATTTTGAGTTAAAGGTACAATAAAGTTATTTTTATGACCAGTGTTATATTCATGTTTAGAATCAATCTGGGGGAATGTATTTTTTTTTTTTACAAATAAATTCACAATTTTGAAATATAAAGTGGGGGTAAGGTTAATATTTCCAGTTCTTTGAATGCGTTTTTGCAGAAGGTTCGAGAGTTGAAACCCAATTGAACGAATAATACGTTTTTGTGTTATAAAATCATAAGACGATGAAGTTTATGTCCCCAAAAGGTCACACCATATCGTAGTCTACTTTCTACCTGTACATAAAAGAGCCACAACTGATCAGGATTCAAAATTTCTTTTTCTTTCCTAAATTGATTGGCTACTGTGTGAAATTTGGAAACAAGGTCTCCGCAGTGAAACTTCCAATCGAGATGGTTATCGACATTTAATTCCAGAAACTTTGTTCTTGTGATATTAGTGGAGATCATAAGAGAACCAAATGAGATATATTCACAAGTTCTCTGGGGGCTATGCAATTTAAGGTAGTTTGTTTTATTAATATAACGTATAAACGGTAATACAAGCAATACGTAACAATAATAATGTTAATTTTGGCATACCTACATTGATGCAGATTACATAGAGTAAAATCAAAGATAAACACGATAGTCACAGAAGCCATAGGAATCTATAGCTTGTTTGTGACAAAATATATTATACATTAAGTAAATGAAAAAAATAGGGTGTAATGAAATATAGAGATAATTCTCCAGTAACTATATTTCCTTGTTTTTTTACACAGGTATTCCAGTCTATTGTATTTTCACAACGACCATCTCCTAGGATATCTCAAAATATTAATATATAGAGGAGATATAATCAATATCATCAGATGGTCATTTTACTACATATCTGCGCCATTTGCAAAGAAATATTGGGATCATTCTCCAGTAACTATATTTTCCTGTATTTGTACACAGGTATTCTGCTATATTCTACTTTAACCTCAACCATCTCCTGTCCATCCAACAAACAAAGTAACCCAAACAATCTTGTTGTTGGCTCAAAAAGTTCTAAACTATTTGATTAATTAACTCATATCAAACAATATTATTTTAATTTTACCATGAACATTCGACACAAAAACTTCTAAAGATTAGGCCATTGGAAGATCCTATGTTTTGTTCTAATTCCTTCAGCTTTCAATTTTCTTCAATTTTATTTTGATAGAGTGTTTTTAAAATTATTATACTTTCGAAATTATCTGTATTTCACAAAAAAGTAAATAAGAGGCAAGAGACGTACGTGGTCCTCGTTGTACTTCATTGAAGACGCACAAGAGATGTGCCAGAGGAGGAAAGACAAACTTTGCTTTTGTGTACATTGGACCACTTGTTTAGTCAGAAGAGACGCGAAAAAGACAAATGTGCGAACCGTTTCTTGACTCCCACCCGACGTACGTTCAGTGTGAGTTGGCCCTAAATCAGATGTAAATCTGCTTTTAATTTCAGTAAAGACAAGCTAGAAATGTAAAAAGTAGAGCATACAAATTTTTTTTTTCTCATTGCTCAATAATATTCGTTGATTATTCACGCGTTGAAACTGTGGATAATCAATGTTATTTTGTGTTCATCACAGTGTACATACAATGTACGATTTTCAATATTTTGTGAACAATCTGTTATCCAAATTCACTTACCGCGATAGTCAAACCCAGGTTGTCCTGCATGTTGCTATCACTTTTCATGTAAATTTCTTTAATCTTTTTACCTACAATGTCTGCATCTGTTTTATTTTTCAAATTCATATTTTCAGGAATGAGTTTGGACAGCCGTTTGTTGCAATTTTCAGCTGTGGTATATAGTGAGTCCATATCTGTAAGAGAATAATACTTTTGTATAGAAGTGTTAGAATGTTCAATAAAAGAAAATGTATTTCATTAGTTCGGACTTCCATTGTCTAATATGATATAAATTGATTTGAAATCCCTGTTATAGGATTTCCGCACTCGCAGGATATCCGGTAAATGCAATTCTTGAAACCGCAGTCCCCGTTTGCTGGCCTGGTTTTCGTGAGGCTGCTACAGATAGTGTTTCCGGATATGAAGCAGGTTCTGATGTTGTAATTGGACCCAATTCTTCTCATCCTTTCCGACAATCCTCTAATGTAGGGAAGTGCTGGTATAGTCTATCCATTCTCAATTGGAACAGCAATAAAAATAAGACCACTACGAGGGGTATTCATAATCACTGCCCGGCAAATGGGGAAATGTATATACTACCAGTGCTTTTATGTTCAAAGCGTCCCTGGTACAGTCATAAACATTTCTGGCCTGTGGCCCCTTGTCGCCCAGATAGTTAGTAAACGTGCAATCAAATGTAGTTGAGGAATGAAGGTTCAGCTAGCTGGACTGGCTGAATACTAATTTTTAGTCCGTTTCACAATATTTCTTTATCAGTGCCGTGTGTTCGTGGGGTTAGGTGAGGTAGTGATTGGTTTTGCAAACCAATTTTTGAAAACTTTTTCTAGAGATCAATTACCCTAACAGGAGTAGAAAATTGATACTGAATCTAAAGACAAGGGTTAGCTGTTTATATACCTAAAGTTTTTTGGTCCGATGCGGATTTTGTTTGTTGAATGACGGTTATCCTAATTGATTTTTCGGTAATTAACTAGTGNGGGTGATCAATTGCTATGATTGTAATAATAAGTAACTGAAAAACTACTACTGAAAAATAATATGCCGACGCCTATGTCGAGGCGGGAATTCCTTCTCTGTGCTGTTCCAATTGGTATTGGAAATACTATACTGGTTGTGACGACTTCCCTTCCTTGCGAGGCTCTTGCTGTCTTTTAGCCAAAGTCTGTTCCACCATCACTTTGGAGTAACCATTCCGTTGAGGATAATTTTTGATGATGCCTATTTCTTTCTCGAGACCTTCCTTCGTATTACAGAGCCCAAAAGCACGGTCTACAAGAGTCTTGGATGATTCCTCTTTTAGCCGATTGATGGTGGTTGAATTCGTAGTTCAGATACTAGGATGCTGTGTACGAAACTGCTATTTTCAACTGAAGGGTTTCTTACTTGATATAATTGTTATTTTCAGCTGTTCATTTTAATTTTATTGATTTTTTCAGGGATTTGAAATCATTTTACATCATATTCGACAATGGAAGTCCGAGCTAATGGAATTCACCGTGAAACATTGTCAACCACCTTATATATTTTTCTTCCTTCTTACCTTCGGCTAGATGAATTTGCTCTTCCGAGTTCACACCCATCAATAGTGAAACTTTGTTTATTTCTCCATTCTCCAACATACTATACATGCTCTTGGTCAAAAATGCTCCCTCGTGTTCAACCTCGATAACTGGTAAGGGATGGTCCTGTGAAATTAAAATTGTTATTCAATAGAAGACTTACAAGGTCGTATCTCATAATCTCATAGCTAAAGTTCTGATTCTTTAGAGGGTAGCCCCCTCTGAAAGAGGCGAGGCCAGTTTACAAGTAAAATAATTTTGTTCAATTGCATTATCAAATCAAGGATTGAAAATTGTAGACAATACGTTGAAAGAAACGGTAGAGGTTTGAAATGATAAAGGCGGTAACAAACATAAGAAACTACAAAATTCCATACGATAACAATTTTACAATCTCTATAACCGATAAAGACATATTCAAAACAAATGTCATGTGGAATAAAATCCCTGAAACCAACAAAACCAAATTTTTAGTAAAACTTTTAGAGATCGACCCTCCAATCCAAAATTTTAGACCAAGTCAAGCAATTTGATCAAATCGAAATTCAAATAGATCATCAGTTATAATACAAAATCCAAACCAACAAAGACAATCGACTATTCAACCCAAGTCCAATTTCAATCGAACAAGCTCAGCCTAGGATTTGATGATTTGACAGATAATTATCAAACAAATTTTGAAGAATTTTCTGAAAATCCCTCAACAATCCAACAACTCAAATTGTCTATGACTGCCAATGCACTGACTTCCCATTGAGCAAATAAATTTTAAACCCAGGTTTTTCAGATTGACCCACCGAAAACGGATCCTTTTTCTATAGAAAAAAATCACAATTCAAACCCAATCTCTGAATTTGGATCCCAACCTCAATTAACAGAGCAGACATTTATGAAAAAAATTGATTTATGCTTGACTAAAAAAACTTATATTATATATTAAGGATGCTACCGCTACATCGGAAATAATAATCGATACGAAATACTCAATTTTTGAATCTGAAACTATCGAAAAATACAGAAACCGATCTACAGAAAATATTATGATTCAAGGTATAACGAATGAAAAAACCCTAGTTACTGAATCAGTATTAGTCCCTAATGCTAATCCTCATACAAGTCATGTTCATGATATTGATTCGGATCTGACTTCCTAGAACAACAAACAATTGATAGTTGACTTCAAAAACCTGATCAAATTGACATAAATCCCTGAAAATTAATCAATTAGCCAGGGTATGGTATTATCCAGGGTAGTAGTTGTTTTCTGATAGGTGTCAATGGAATACCTGATCATAAGCAGTATGGGCTATACCGAAGAAATTAGATACACAAGGAAAACAAAAATTGCTGTAAGTGACAAATAAATACCCCTCTCGATGATTCTAGACCAACTTGGCAAATGCTAATACTTCACCAATTTAGACCTTGGTTCTGATTTCCACCAAATAGAAATCGATGACGAAAACATTCCTAAAACGTCATTTATAGTAGAGAACGGCCATTTTGAATTTCTCAGAATGAACTTTGGTCTTATGAATGCCCCATCAACGTTTCAAAGAGTCATGGATAACATTCTGCCTTATAACCAAAATGAGCGATGTTTCGTCTGTATGGACGACATCATCATTTATTTTCTTACCATCCATTTCGAAACTAAAAAAAAGTATTCAGAAAACTTCGCTGAGATAATCTCAAAATGCAATCAGATTGGGAATTCCTCAGAAAAGAAATATTATATTTGTCACTTGATAACTAAAGACGGAGTGAAGCCAAATGGCAACAAAATTGATCATATTATAAATTTCTTGGATCTTAAAAAGTAATCAAATAATTCTCGGGCTTAGTCGAATGTTACAGAAGATTCATTCCCAATTTTACAATGATATCAAAACCACCAATACAATTACTTAAGAAAGATACTCTTTTCATTTTCAATAATAAATGCATAACATAAATGCATAACATCAAAACACTGATTGCTTCGTCTTGTAATGTTATCCAAAACTGTGCTGATGAGGTAATGAGACTGGTGTCTTGTCCCGAAACTTCAAAGTACACCATCGAGGATTTCATGTAAGTAATATTTTTTCATATATAACATTTTCGTGTAATGCAATGTTTACGTAGAAGTAGTTGTTTCGAAACGTGAATTTCATTTCGTTTAATTTAATGTTGATTAGTAAGTAGTTGTTTCGGTAGGATTTTTTCCAGTTGTAAATTTTTTGATTCAACATTATGAAAGTTTTGATGTTGAAGAAAGTAACTTTCGGTATATTCGATCTGATCATAAAAGTATCTGATTGGTTGAGTTCAATAATCAAATCCAAACAAGTTAAAATTATTGATTTATGACTTATAGTCAATACATTTAATAATAATGTAACTGAAGGCTCTCTGTACATGGAAGATATCTGAGAGTGACTAATATTGCCATTCTTTATTAACGCAATTGAACCACAAACAATTATGTCTAGAATATTTGTCTGTTTCTCTGTACGATTGTGCGCGGTGATATCAAAAACGGCTGAACTGATTTGGTAGCGGTTTTCTCTATCATATTGTAAAAAGCATTTAATTTTTTATTCATTGTTGTTGCTGTTGGAATACTTGGAAAACTCAAAATTTGAAGAGCACACAAATCAACTGGCGAGAAACAACAAGTAGGTATTCATCTTTTTATCCTGAAATAACAGTAAATGCTTCTTCTAATTGTAAGATAATTTATCCACAGAGTAAAGGAGTGAAAGTATAATACGTTAGTTCACATAATAGCTCATTGAATTCGTATCGATTTTTCACTAATACCATCACTTGAATACTTACTATATTAGTTGTTTTCGTTGAAGCTATATCTATCACTTTTGCAGGAACGCTCTGTAAAAACTCAAGCAGGTCTTCATTCGTTTCAAAATTTTTAGTAGAGTTAATTTTAGAGGCCAACTCGTAACCATATGGTTTAGGATCAGCCAGGTAACCCCAGTTACTAAGAGCTGACCCACTTTCAGCTATCCCGGCCCTGAACAGTCCTAGAAAATTATAATTAAATAACTAAAATAAAATGACACTATCGATATGTAATATAATTAGTATTAATTGTTCGAACCTGACTTTGGTAAACTGTCTGTATTCTTAACAATTGACAGTGTTCTCAATGTAAAGTATTTATATCATTATAAGTATCCCTTTCCCTCTCTTCCAGTTCTTTATAGTATTTCAGTGTTGATAAAATATAATAGTGGGATATCTGGCGTAGAATATATCTACGCCAGATATTCCACAACTACTTTTCCTAATCACCAGAACTGCAATACTCTCCCGCTAAGTTTAAAAGAGGGAATCATTTATTTCAGGGTTGTAACTACATGGGCTAAAAAGTCTCGGGCCTAACACTTTGATAGCGCTAATCGTATGGCATTCTCCGCTTTTTCTGTTAGTACTAACAATATTGTGCATATTTGTGTATATTTGAATGTGGTTCAGAATATTAGTTGATGAATATCAAAAGTTTGGACTTTCAACATCTTAAAAAGTTTGTTCGAAACTGGTGGACAATGTTTCATGGTGAATTTTATTAGTTCGGAGTTCCATTGTCTAAGTCCTTATTGAATGTCCTTATTGCCGAGCACAAGAGAAAAAGCGAGGAAAAGCCAGCAGATCGGAGAGAGAGCAGAGCATGCTTGGACTCATCAACATAACATCAAGTGGTCCAAAGTTGGGATTACCCACAGAAAGGAATACTGGTTAGAGAAAAAGTTCAAAGAAGCTGTATGTATTTTGTCCAACGACGCTTTCAGCCAAACTACCGTAGAGATACGCAACATATGAAAACTTATAATCAAGCAGTAAAACGTTCAACTCCCGCTAAACCGGTAGAGGGAAGAGTGGATAGGTGAATGCGTTCGAATGACCTACAAATAGTCATCTCACGAAGGAATAGTCCAGTCATCACCCGAAGATGATTATGGATACTAACAATCAAAACGTCGTGAAGAAATTTGGTTTGAAACCATTTTTAACTTTTTTAATTCCATTTGTAACTGTTCAATTTTTAATTTTTTGCTTATTTTTATTTTATTATAATTTCGTTTCACGTTTTTTATTGCTCAATATAATTGATATTTGCAGCTAATCATTTTGATTGCATTTTTTCTTTCACAAATTTCAAGTCACATTAGAATCATATTAGATAATGGAATAAAATTCAATCTGAAAAGGTGTTCAGAATCGAAATCCATGGTAGAATAAACGAATGGAATATAAAACCAAAATATACCTATGAATTAATTTCAAAAAAGGAAATGATATTTAAGAAACGATAATGAAAAACAATCTGTTTTAAAATATGTGATCTGAAATATGAAAGTACTCTTACTTGTAAACAAACAGATATTAGAGAATATAGGCTTTCACGGCCGGAGTCACCACGATTAGAAAGAACAAAATCAGGCCATTCCAGATTCCACACAAAACGATATGGGTGGACATAACGTAGTATTCAGTACTCCTATCAGTACTCAGTACTCCTATCAACAACGTGGACGAATCAGAACAAACTAGTAACGGTGCGGACCAATCAAGTTGATCTTTCGCTTGAATGCCCTGCCATCACCCCCACCAACGTAGCCATCATCACCCTTACCACTCACTAAAATCATAAATACGAGTGATAACGTAGCTTGTGGGTAAGTTGTTGCTAAGACTTGGAGATATAACTTTCGTCCTAGCAAAAAAACGGCCATACCAGTGATGATACGTTTTATACTTCAGGTTCCATTCGATCATGGTCTACCACCCGGACTTTGTTCTCTTTAATGGTGAAGAATATCAACCACAAAAAAAGAGAATAAAAATGAGGATGAATAACAAAAATTCAAATCAAGCTATTTCACGGTGTTTCAATTATATTTACAATCGTTATCCAATGAAAACTGACAATGAAAGTCCCAACATGCAATAATCGAACTAAATGGTTACATAATTGAACGTTACTGTGATAGCAAGACTTATCTTCAACATGTTAATATATGATCTTCCATAAGCGCTTCCTATCTTTCAATTTGAATAATACAAAGTGTGTACGAGATATCATTGAAATTTTTTATTCGTTCAAAAAACCTATTGAAGCCATTAGGTGTGTAATATAACATCGTTGAAATGTATGCCACGACTTGTCTGGGTGGAGCGCAACCGAAACGTTCAATTTTCCATAACTCTGGCGCATAAATTAGGCTCAAGTTGACCGATGGCATGGATTATGTCCGCTTTGAGAACCGCTGTAGTTTACCCGTTGGTTGGGCTACCTATCAGGCGCGTCCCCAGGTGGTGGATAGGTGGATGGATGTAATACATCTCGAGGTGATCTGCGCATTTGCGGCACCGAGGCCAAAAGAAGAAAGAGAGCGAAAGAGGCAGGAGTGGCAGCAACTATAAGTGCACCCTTCTTCCCCACTCCACCTCCAACAGCGCGGAGACTTCCGCTTTGAATAAAGGCAAGGTACCGGCTGCCCCTGCAGGAAAGCGCCCTCCCTGAACACCGCCACTATGGAAACCCCAGGAAAGTTGAAGAAGCTGCGCAACGACAGTAATGTCGCTGCACCTTCCAAAACCTTCGCGGTGGCTGCCGTGGGATACCTCAAGATTGCCAAAGAGAGCATGTGTTCGGCGAGTCTTGGTCTACACCTGACGTTATGAAGGAGATGTTTTCTAGTGACCTGTCCACCTTCCTGGAAAGGACAGGTTGGACGATGACCTAGGAGGACAACTCTCGGGAGGATGTACAATGGGTCACATGTGGCCTTAAGTGCTGTGGATATACACTCACCCTCCCTGCTATATACATACATATCTATGTAGTTTGTAGCTTATTCGCAAATACTTTCCACCCAAGAAAATCCCACATGATCCACGTATGATCTTGGTGGCCAGTTCACATGTCCTCAAATTGTTCGTGCACAATATCCGATGTGGCATGAGCTGTTTGGCATGTAACGCTGTTCTGTTGAAACCACATATCGTTGGTGTCCAGATCATCCAATTCAGGCCAGAAGAAGTTGGTAATCATTGACCTATAGTGCTCGCCGTTGACATTGATGGCCTGGCCAACGTCGTTCCGAAATAAATATGGACCGCTGACGCCGCCAGCCCAAAATCCACACCAAACTGAAGTTTTTTCGGGATGCATTGAACGCTCTTGGATCTCATTTAAACTGGTTTTGTCCCGAATTCGACAATTTTATTTGTTCACGTACCCATTTATCCAGAAATTGGCCTCATCGCTGAAGATAATTTTTCGATGAATATTAGGGTCAGTTGCCAACCGCTCCAGATCCCATTCAGCGAAAAAACATCTCAATCTAGTCGTTCACTTTGAGTTTCTGAGTAAGTTGAATTTTGTACGGGTGCAGGCCCAAGTCACGCTGCAAAATTCGTGGTCTGTGAAAGGTAGAGTTCCTATGAGCGACGCGAAATCGGCAGCCTCGGATTCTCATGCACACTCTCACAGACAGCGTCGTTGATTTCGGCAGATATTGCATTTCGTCGACGTATGGGTGTTGGTCGATCTTTTGCTTAACCAGTGGACTCAAATTTATCCACAACATTGCAAATATTCCTCTCAGTAGGACAGTTATGGCGAACGTAAAATGGGTGAAGCACGCGGTACGTTGCCCGAACAGAACACCCATTTTGATAAAACAATCTCATTATTTGCACGTGTTGTTGAATGCTATAGCAGTCCATGGTGATTTTGCAAAACAGACTGAATGAATAACAACTAATTTGACAGATGTAGCTTCAACAAGTTGGCCCTTATCAATTGTCAGTACTCGGAAGTCCCTGTTGGAAAACTCTATATATGCTTGCATATACTGAATAATTGTGCATTTTGACTCTTCCCCTGTAATCTCATCGAATTTTTTTTAAACATGACACCAACTATTGTTGAAGATATAACTAGAAACTCTGGCAAAGAATGAATGAATGTTTGGTCGGTAGCCGGGCGGTTCGACGTGGGTGCTTTGTTCACTCAGTCAATGGGCCGATGTGTGAGTCGATGGTTCAAGCCCCAGGCTGAACGCTCACTTGCTCACTTGCTATCGTTCAATCTGGGTTAGGAATCACATTAAAAGGTAAGACCTCGTTAGTCCTTAGCTCGCATAAGTTTTGACTCCTGAGGGTTGTCGTTCGTAGGGGTGCGATAGCTGGTTAACGAAACAAAAAAAAACAAACACACTGTATGAAAACAGTTGTTGTGCCGTAGCCAAAAAACTGTGTTGAAACTCACCAGAGGATTGCTTGCTGACAATATGAAACCCAACTGAAGCAGCTCCTGCACTCTGTCCGAAAATAGTTACTTTTGTATTATCACCGCCAAATAATCCAATGTTTTTTTGGATCCATTTAAGAGCAAGTACTTGATCTTTCAGTCCAACATTGCCAGGTATCACGTTATCACCAGTCGTCAAGAAACCAAATGGGCCCACTCGGTAGTTCATGGACACCATGACAACGTCATGTTCTATTAAATAATCTGGACCATAAACATTGTATTGAGATGCCCCGTCTCGAAAACCTCCCCCATAGAAATATACCATGACGGGGAGTAAAGTTGCATTTTCCTGAAATGATTTGATTATTTCGGTTAGTATAAAATTGAATGTTGCTAGAGAAATTGAACGAGTATGAATTTGTCTGAAGATTCAGATATGAATTGAGTTTTCAAGTTACGGTATATTCGAAAGTGTTTATTCTGGAATATGAGCTCGGAAGCAACCAAATATTGAAACATTTGGTGCAAATACTCATACTACTTTCAGAATGATAGTAGGTTGTTTCAGAAAATTTGTCAAATACTCGTTTCAATGTCACGTGTTTTTGTAGTCTCATACCTCAATGAATATTTCTTCTACTGTGTCGTGGTATATACCAATCGACAGAGAGGTTTTACTCTATACATTGAATATTGAAACACGTGTCGAGGTGTAAAAATAACGATTTGGTGTTGGGAAAAAACTCCACTAATATTCATTACTACACCAAAGGTTCCAAACAGTATATCATAAGTCTATACATTGACGCTGTTCATTTTTTTCCAAACTTTATTTTTTGAACGGTTTTATTTAGCTTGCCCTATTTGTTTGTTTGTTAATTTGTTTGTATCATATTTAGTAATTGAAGTTTAACCCCCATTCCGGTCGACAGATCAATCTGATATTTGGTACATACATTTAGTTTTAATAACAAAACAATTTAATAAATTCTGTATCAATAAATTGATGGATGTAGCCGTTACTACGTGGTAGAAAATCATCAAGAAAAATGAGAATTGAAACTTTTTATGTTTTTACCACTTTCGTTTCTAACTAACGTTATTGCAGTTTGATATATAAGTTTGAAAATGTCCTTATAGGACGAAACTGCAGTAAAGTTAGTTACAAATGAAAGTGGTAAAAAACATAGAAAATTTCAGTTCTTATTTTGAAAATTATGTACCTATCATTGTGTATCCAAGATAGCCGCAGTTACAAAATAGCGTATTATATATTGTTTCTCAACTACCTCAATATGGGTACCAAAGTGGTCTCTTGGTCTCTCTGGTGAAGACAACCATCGCAAACGGTGCGTGGGATGACGGAAGAATTGGTCGTCAGCTCATATGCGGTTTGATTGCGCAAAAGCAAAGAACAAACCTTCAAACGTGACAATTTCCGTCGATCGTTCAAATCATGGTGCAACCACTTTTCGTTCTTTTTAACCTTTCTTAAAAGTTTTAAACAATCAAAAACCGCATGGGAGCTGACAGCTCCCACACAATCCCACCAGGGTCCTCAAATATTCGTCTTGGATTACTGCAGGTCATCTTCGAGGCTAAAAACTCCTGAACAAAAAATTTCGCAAACCACCGTCGAACAGTGCGTTCATTAACACTATCATTGCCAAATGCGTGCTTAATTTTTCGGGCTGTTTCGGCAGTGCTTTGGTTCAATTTGAATTCATAAAGACAAATTAGCCAAAAATCGTTCAATGACATCATATATTCAACTGTCTATATCATTTATGAAAAACTGTTTTTAAGAAACTCTGACATAAAAATAAGTAAATCATGAAATGAAAATATTAAAATCATATTCAAAAATGAATGTTTTTCAAATAATGCGGACGACCTAACGAAAACTTTATCTTAGTCATTTAAGTTGAAGGAGCAGATGATTTTACTGAAAATCATATGGACATGTTGGTTCCAATAGTCTCTCTTGAGACCACGCATGATTCTCCATGGACTGAATTAGAGTAGATATTCTTTTTTTAATCACAGTAGTTACGATTTAACTATTCTATTGTTAAATTTTTATTACACTTATAATTAAACTCTCGGCAATATTGATTACTTGTCTTAACTAATCGTAAATAAAAGCACGAAGCAATTTTTTTTCTTTTTACAATAACCATCCAACGTGTTTACGTAAGAAACCCACATTTTGAAAAATCTCATGTCAGATTGGGGGATGGGGGAGGGGGTTGAGTAAAATCTCACGGCATCTCACCAGAGGGGGAGGGACGGACAGAAAATTAAAAAAAAAATACTCACGTAATTTATAGACGCCCCCTTATTGATACGAGCACAACGAATGTACGGTGAGCATTATTCTAATAGGAGTTCCTTATCGTTATACTTTAGGCAGCTTGTGTCAAAAAAAGGGCAGTTTGCGGAAAGTTTTGCAAGAGTTTTGAAATTTGGTTCTATATGGTATTTCGGGCTGCTGAACACGAATCTGAGGTGTGCCAACAACATTTTTCTCGGGAAATGTTTTTTTTTTGCAAAAATTGTGAAAAAAATCGACTTCGTTTTGGTTTTTTGCGAATAACTCGAAAACTACGCATTTTGTATAGAAAGATCACCTATACAAAAAAAGAAGATAAAATTTCTTACATTTTATGTCATTGAAGTTTTTTTCTACAGTCAACCATTAGGCTATGGGAGAACGCTAAAAGTGAGGGAAAACCCCCAAAACTCCAAATTCTTAATTTATATCACAATTGTCGGTAACTGTTTAAATAAAATTCAATACATTTCAAAGGATTCCCTGTCTTAAAGTTCACTTACCTTTTACAGGTATAAGTTGAAACAAGGTACTGAAACCTTTTTCTATGCAACACTCTGCTAATTCCTCCAGTAGGCAAATGACCTTTACTGAATAATTTTAAGGTGAAAGCAATAAAAGCTAAAAGCAAACATGAGAAAATCTTTTGGTAAAAAACTTGGGGTCACTGGCGTAGGGAGCTTTCCATTGACTTGTGTGCGAACTTTTAAATGTGGCCCGTGTGCTGTATATGTAGTATTAAAGGAAAAAAATGCTTAATATACTTAGATATATTGAGCTTTCAATAAGCAACATTTTAATAGAATTGTTCGGTCGAGTAACGAATAAATGATCTGTAGAATAGAATTAATCTTATCTGAACACCTTGTGAAAATTTAGAAGCTTAGATATTGATTCTAAGTAATTTAATTATGTTTGGTACGTCGGAATTTTCCGAAAAACGCGTTTCTGTTTCGAATTTCGTTTATGCGTAAATTGTGAGGGCACCTGCAATAACATTGAAACGGTGCAAGAGGAGGAGTAGGACGAGAAGGAAGCCGAGACTGAGATGGACGATTTGTTGCCGTTGGACATTCCACAAGGAGAAAACTCAAAAGGTAAATGCTTGCAATATCTTAATACTACTCAATCCGTTATTGAAATTTAACTCCCTCCACTGATTCCATGTTTTTATTTTTTTTTTTACAGATGAAGATGATCCAGATACTAGTGAACGGCCATCGAAAAGGTTGAGGACGTAAGGAAATCGAAGGTACAATCATTTGAGGATTGCAGAGAAACAGTATTTTGACAGTCACAACTTTCTAAACTTTCTAGAGTTCTCAAAGTTCTCACTAACTCGTTCGAAAAAGAATTCGAAGATTGAAGAATGAAGATGATGACAATTTCAACGTTCATATTACTATTCATATACACAAATTTCATTTCGTACATATAAACGATTCCATGTTTTTATAATCAATTTATTATTTGAAACTGAATTGAACTTTTTT